GAGAGAGAGAGAGAGAGAGAGAGAGAGAGAGAGAGAGAGAGAGAGTCAGAGAAAGAACCAGAAAAAGAGAGAGACAGAGACAGAGACAGACTGAGATACAGAGACAGACAGAGATCTGTGATTTAGTCTGTGTTTAAGCCACAGGCAGGTTCAGTGATGTGTTAGAGGAAGGACTTGAGCTGAAGTCTTTGTGACTCAAGGTTGGCCCTCTGTCTACTACACCTTGCATACATTGATTAGTCTTTATTAGTATTGCTGATAACACAACTTACATTTCTCTAGCATTTTATGGTTCACAAAGCTTTTCTCACACCAATCCAGTGAAGTGGTAAGTGCAAGTGTTGTGATTCCTACTTTACAGGTGGGGAAACAAAGGCTCAGATACACTGAACGACTTCCCTATGGTCACACAGTCAGTAATGGTTAAAGCCAGAACTCAAACCCTGGCCTCCTTATTCCAAGTCCAGTGTTCTCTCCATAGACTCCAATGCCTGGACAATTTGATCATATTTAAGAGTCTCAGAATTGAGTTCCAGAAGGGTTGGAACACTGGTGCAAATGGACAGAAATACGAGCTAAAAGGCAGTGATCTCCAAGAATGATATCCTGAGCTCACTCTTTGGGGCTCATGGCAGGCCACTCAGGAAGTGCAGATGTGGAACTCGGGAACTGAAGGACAAGTCATAATTCCTGTGTCCTCAGACCAGTAAGCTGTCCTGTCCTGTCTGTTCCTTCAACTGGGTGATGTTTCCCAGTCAGCAAACAAATGAACAATCCCATGTGCCTGAGAAACCCTAACTCTGCTTGTGAAAGAAAAGACTGCTTAGGCTTCTTCCCTGAGACTCAATGAATGTATTTAGACACTCACCACAACAGGGTTGATGAACCAGTGCCTTAAGCTCTTTTGGCTGCATACTCTCATCATCATCAGCTGGTAATTCTTCTATAGTCTCTTCACTACTAATTTCACTATCTTCTTTACCTAGAATAACTCAAAAGTCAGAAGCTTCAAAGATGAAAATCAATGGCAAAGCAAACAAAACTCTTGGATTTATAATGATTTTATCTCTTTTCTCTGCATATTTCCATTTTATTAATTCAGGAAGCTCCAAATCTACCTGCCCCTGCCCTCCACCCCCTCCAAAAGGTGACACCATCTCTTAGATTAGAAGGAACTACAATAAGGCCTGCAGTGATCTCCATATGATTGACTCTTTGAACAGCAGTAAGTAAGAATAAGACTATTAGTCTCAAACACCACCACACTAGAGGATCCCTCTATACTCCTTGTTTGCCCTCAGTGCCATGTTCACAAATGAAAACTCAAAGACTATATTTTGTGGTTGAATAGTATCTCTAAATCTTAAAAGTCCTACTTGCAAAATCAAATGGTTCCTAATTGCTCATAGTTAGCATTATTCTGATATTCACATCAGACATGGCAGATGAAGGAACTCAATATATTTTTGTTCCCCAATGGGCAGACAGAAGCCTATGCTTCGTTGATAGATTTATAGAGTTGGAAAGGATCATGCAGTTAGGATGCCAAATGTAATCTACTAAGTGTAGTATAATGCTACTTTGGGCTTTAGTGAAACAGGACAGGAAATTAAAAGAGATATTTTTCTTGAAGAACAAACAAGCAAAAAAAAGCCATTAGTCAAGGTAGAGAAACCATTCTTTCCCAGAAAGAGCTGGGTCTAAAAATGAGAGAAACAGAAGGAAGGACACACTAAATTAGGTTAGTAATAAATAAGATACCCTAATAATTAATATTAAAATATTCCTACAAACTAAGTAATGGGAATAAATTGGGATTCTTTCCTTCTGGGTACATTTTTAAAAGGCATGGATGAACTGTGTTAATCCAAAGCAGTGTCAAAGATAAACCTCCATCAATGTATAATGCTTAAAGAATTATTTGGGCCCTGTTATTTTCCTGTATAAAAAGGAACTTAGAGTAGCTATCCTCTTGGTTTAAAATAAACATTGCCTTGTGTCTAAGTTTTTTTAAAAAATGAGATTACCAAGAGAAGATGGTGTAGAGACTAGACAGGCTGATTTCTCGAACACTGCTGAAATAGGTTTCTTTTCACTTATGGGAGAATCAGAGGCTGTTTTTTCACTGGAAAAAAAAAAAGAATAAAAAGGTCTTCAAAGGACAAGTTGTAGTGTTTTGAGGTCCAAAGCAGGGCTCATTATTTTGCCTGTGTTGGTTAAAGAGAGGGATCTGGAGAAAGATACAGTCATAATTAGGGAAACAACTCAAACTTTAGCAAATCGGCTAAATGCTTGTTTATGGCCACATAGAATGTTCAGAGCTGGAAGGTACCTTAGAGATCATCTAGGCTAACACCTCACTGTACAAAGGAGAAAATGGAGGCCCAGCCTGTTGAGATTTTGAGATTTCATAAACAGGCTTTTTACACCATCCTTTTCCCCCTTCTAGTCTTTTGGTGCATTACGTCTTTAGGTAGACCCTAAGGCAAAGGTATAAAGAAGGGAGCACTACAGATCAAAGGAGGAAGTTTTGTTGGACAGAGTCACTATAAAACCTGGGCAGAGATTAGATTATGGAATTGCTGTTAAAAAAAGTCTGTTAGAAAAATGAACGAAGGAGTCTATTCTGAGCCTTTTGGGATATTTTCATCTGTTAAATACCAAAATTACACATTAAAAAAAAAGTAATAATACAGGAAGTCTACAGACTCATGGTTACTTAGGCCAAGAGGAAGCCAAAATATTATCTATATATTTTCCCCTAGAGCAAAAAAAAAAAGCAAAGTGATCATGGAATCTTTCCACAATGATGAGATCCCAGGGGCTCTTCAAATCTGATCAGTTAAGGCTTACCACATATTGACAGTGCACTACCTGTTCATCAAAAGAATTGGAAAAACCAAAAAACCAAAACCTTTGCTCACAAACAGCTGACAACAGCCTGCTGCAACACCCTATCTGCCTAATGTCTACATGCTATCAGGTGTTATTCCTGGGTGACTGTGGCACTGGCAGTTCTCTCTTTTCTACCTTTGAGTCCTATGTTCTCTCTTAATATAGAAATAGGCCTAACAAAAAAATGAATCACACTTTGAACCTGCTGCTTCTGACTTACTGGTATCCCATCCGTGTTGAGTGTGCCCTGAAAATCGACTGGATGACTGCAATAGCCTCGTCTTCCTCCTTGTTTTCAGCCACCAAAACTGGGGAATGGCAGGATGTGTTGGATCTCTACAATGTAATGATATCAAATGAGGAAAGTAAAAGTTTAACATCAAACCTTTCACAGTCAAGTTAAGGTTCACCACCCTGGATACAAGAAAGACAAAGAACAAGATCTCTTCCCTTGGTTGGTTTCGTGGATTACTAGTGCTATTAAGTGAGCAACCACCTGATTATAGGTTCTTATACTCTGAAAGCTGTTGAGATACAAATCTTTTTTTGTAGGAAATAGTGGCTAAAATGGGGTTCTTATATCTTAGCAACAAGATAAGATATGCTACTTTATTCTTCAGCCCCACCAACAGCAATTTAACTTCCAAAACTAGGCTTTCTTGGGCTGGGCCAGAGGCAAAATTAGTGGGGTCTGAAAATACACTATAGCCCAGGGCATTAGGTTAAGCCCACTGGTTAAGAAAGCTTTAAAAGACTAAGTTAGAAAAATGTTAGTACTTCCCCTAGTTGACAAACTGCACCAAAAGAAGAAACGGAGAGTGACTTATTGGGTCTGTGTCCAGCCGTCTTGATGGCTACCTTATTTGGAAAGCTGGGCATGCTGGGAGATTCTGAATCAAATGTATTGCTCGAAAACAGCTTCTCCCGTGCTAAATGTCCCCTGAAAACTGCCTGCAGCACAGCAGCCGCCTAGCAGAGAGAAAGAGAGAAATGGATGTTAATTCCCTGGAAAGATGGCAGCTACAAATTAAAGCAGATAATCACAGAAATGTTTAAGAAGAACCTTTCTCCCCATCACTCACAAAACCTACTACAATCAGAAATATCCCAATACACACTGAGAATAAACTCAATGATCCTTGACCTAATTGTCAAACTGAATCCTGAAAATCTAAAAATGATGGTACTTCTCAATGTAATTACATTCCAGCTGCTTAATACTGGCCCATATTTGATAGCTCAAGGCACGTGCTAATCTTTTCATATTAGAGCCTAGTTATCCAAAGGCTCTGGCTACTTCATACACAAATTCTAAAATAAGGCAGGGACTGACAGGCTCTTCTGGCATGGCAAAGAAATTTTTTTTTTTTCTATTTCTGGAAGTCAGTATAGAGACTTCACAGGTTCTGCCCTCTATCTCTGGGACAGAAAGTAGGGTTAATAATAAACCAACCTTGAATGAGTCTACCTTCATTCTTGCTTAAAAATACCAAATGCTTGACAAGGGAACTGGAGCTCTGATTTCATTTTAACCAAACAACAGACAGACATACTGAGCACAAAATCAACATTAGTTTCATAACTGTCACAACTGTCAGGTAAAAAGAAAGCATTTCAGTTCTTTTTTAAGGCAGCATCATAGGATCATAGATTTATTTGGATGAAGGATTTATTTTTTTTTTTGCTTTTTGGATAAGCAATGGGGTTAAGTGACTTGCCCAGGGTCACACACTTTACACAGTAAGTGTCAAGTGTCTGAGGCCATATTTGAACTCAGGTCCTCCTGAATCCAAGGCCAGAGCTCTATCCATTGCACTACCTAGCTATCCCTGAAGGACTGATTTTTGATGAAGGTATGTCACATAAAATATAAGTGAAAAAAAAAACAATAAAGAAAAGTGTCTGAACATCAGTTGGTTGCAGAAAAAAATTAAAAGAGCAATAAATTTTGGAACTAACTTAGGATTACTTGGGGAACAATCAAAGGCCAGTCACTTCTGTTTACTAACAACCTACTTGCCACTGTTAAGAGAGTGGTTATCTTTAGTAGTTACTGAAATGATATAAAACCAGGGCCTAGGTAAAGAGGATCAAAATGAGGTGCTCCTCAGATTGATGGAGGCAGGAATGTGGAAGCACTGTGATGGCTATGCTTAGCCTCTATGAGTAGAAGAATTTTTCTCCTTAATGATCCAAAAAGCCACACACTCTGGATGAACTGGGAATAGAACTGCTGACCTAAAGAAGAAATCCCAATCAGTACCTTTGAAAAAGAGAAGAAAGTGAGAAAAGTAGGCGAGAGAGGAGTAGGGAGATTTCCAGGACTTCATAAAAATACATATCAACCTACTCTGTCTACTCTTTCCAGAAAAGATGACCTGGTCCTCAATAAAGAAGCAGCTGAAGAAAGCTACATGTCTAGAACTATATACACACACACACACACACACATATATGTATATATGTATGTATGTATATAAAGATACATACATTTGTGTGTATTATGTATATATATCCACATATATATAATATATAATTTATACACACATATACAGTGTTTAGAGCTGCATACTTTTCCCTCTCATCATGAAACATCAAAATCACATCATATATTTGAAATAAAAATTGAAATGTCCTTAAAAATTTCAATGCTAATGTCACTTTCTCATTCTAAATTTAATAATGGGATTTGTTTTAATTAAAATATGAGTACTTAAAGAGATGTCTCTGAAACCTGCACAAATGTAGTAAGCTTCAATATTAAAACATCCCCTGATGTTTTATGTTACATTATTGGTGTAATAACCCACACGTACCTCATCCAGATTAGCCTCTTTTTTCTGAAATAGAAAAACAAATTTTAAATTAACATTAGGTCCTCTGGTCTTTTAAAATCACATTCTTCCCCCAGGGGATTCCATTTTTTCCCCTTACCACTGCTATTAGATCAACTAAGGGACTGAAAAACACAGTTACTATAGAAATAAAAGCAAAATGGTAACATAACTTGGATTGAAAGCACAATGAACTCTTTCTTCATCACCAGGTACTTCCCCTACTGCCCATCTAACTAGTACCAAGAGAACATAAACTCATTGATGACCCTGACCCAAGCAAAACATAAATACGAAGGCAAGTCTACTGATGAAATATTCTCAAATTAAAGATAAAGGGTTTCAGTATCAGTAATAGTTTCTACTAGTGTTTGTCACTAATGATAAGCACTGCATTAGCCAGCTGATGTTTAATAATAACTAACCTATGTAAGTAAGAAGCATAGCATTACAGGGAGAAGATCTTTCCATCACTAGAACAATAAATAGATGAGGATAAGGACTAGGACAATGTAGAATGGAGTGAGATAAAGCTGTATTTTAATGGGAAGGAGTAAGGAGTGGGCACATGATGCAAAGATGAGGCCCAAGGTATATAGAAGACTAAAGATCAATTAGCACATTACAGAATAAAAGCTAAAGACTATGAATATATCAGTAGAATGTAAGTTCCTTTGGAGCAGGGGCTATTTCATTTTTGCCTCCCCAGCATCTAAAAGAGTGCCTTGGGAAGAGTAAATGTCTTAACAGTCGTCTGTTCCCTACATACACTTAACTGACTCTTAGTTTATGTTCTCTTAGTACTAGTTAGATAGGCAGTAGGGGAAGTACCTGGTGATGAAGAAAGAGTTCATTGTGCTTTCAGTCCAAGTCTGTTGTATTTGGTCAAACTGTCACAACCCGGAGAAGAGAACAGAAAAGAATAATAAATTTTGGAACTATCCTAGGATTACTTGATCAAAGTCCTTTCTATTTTCTGAGACCCTACTTGTCACTGTTAAGAAGGGTGGTTACCCTTAGCATCACTATTCCTAACTCTAACTTAATACCCACAAAAACGCTGACCTTCTGAATGTGTGCTGGACATAAGCCAAAAGTGGGGACCAATCAATTGTTAGTTTCAAGTTCAGCTGTGGCTTAGACTTTAGATATAGTAAATTAAAAGAAAACAAAATTTCCTCTGTAGACTCAAAGCTTTGTACAAGTATTATCTCATTTATCTTCAAAATATCTCTTAGGTACAGAATAAATACTAGAAGATATTACTACCTGAGAGTAGAATGGGCTGTTTTAGGAAGCACTGAGCGTTCCATCACTGAAGATCTTTACACAATGCTCACAGAGGACCCCTTCTCAAGTCACAGGAGAAAGAGTATTCCTATTCAGGTACAGATTAGACCCAGATGACCTCTGAGGCCCATTCCAACCCAGAGATTCTGTGATTTCATACTATTTTTATTTTACAAACATGGGAACCAAGCCCAGATATACTGACTCTTAAGTAAGTAATAAGCATTTATTTATCAAGCATCTATTATGTGCCAGGAACTGTGCTAAGTACTGAGTCTTTCTACTTACAGACTGAATTTTTTTTGATCACCTTATTAGAGGTGTAGGTTTTATAATAAACAGGCACAATACAGACAAATGATATTCAGATGACTGTATTAGTACCATCGGGTTTACATTACATTGCAACTTTAGCAAAATAAATTGAGTTATCAGAATCTGAATTCTATTAGCAAAGTCTTAGAACTGGAGAGAGAAAACCCCAACCCATCTTGTTAGTCAGTTAATCAATAAAGCATTTATTAAGCACTTCCTATATGCCAGGCACTGTACTAAGCACTGGGGATACAAAGAAAGGCAAAAGACAGTCCCTGCTCTCAAGTAGCTCACGGTCTAACGGGGGCAGGGGGACGACAACACACAAACAATGATGTACAAACAAGACACATTCAGGATAAATTGGAAGTAATCAATAGAGAAATGCCACTAGTCATTAAGGAGGATCAGGAAAGCTTCTTACAGAAGGTGGGACTATAGCTGAGACTGACTCATTTATTCAACTAACACCTGCAGAGTAAATAAGAGAAGGGAGCTGAATGAAAGTGAAAAACTGAAGATTAAGGGACACAGGGACAGGGACAGTCTACATTCTGGGCTAAGAACTGCTCTAGCAGCTCCACTGTTATGTCTGTCAAGACAGAAAGGCTCACGATGATTTGCAGAACAGTAATATACTCCTTCAACCAGGAAATGGGGATTAGAACTATTCTTTGAGGACTATGCAAGTGGGGCATAGGTATCACAGTATTCAAGTAAGCAGGTAACTCCATGGTTGTTTTAGAAAAACAAAACAAAGCAAAAATAAAATATCGACAACCCAACAAATCACATTTTCTCTCTAAGATCTTTTACATATTTAGCATCTGACAAGTGGAGCAACGTATATATAGTAAGGTTTAATTTCTACCCTCCCTTGTGGTAAATTAGTTAAGCTTTAAGATTATTTGAATTCCTAGTATTTACATTGTGTACAAGTTTCCATAATCATGTAACATTCCCTACATACACTTAATCTTTTTGGCATTCTTAGAGAATTTTTTTTAGCTTCTCTGTAACCATACTTTTCTATATAAGTAAGGTCAAGTAAATAGTATTTGTCTCATAAAAACCAGTCTGCATTCCTTTAACAGAATTGGAGATAAAATTTACAGATATCAGAGTGCTAGAAACGTTTGTCTGTTATCAGAGGCCTTGATTATACGGTCAGAGATACAGTAATGTTGACTATGCAAATGAGGTCAAGGCCAGAGGGATTGATCCACGTACCAGTCAGCTTTGTACCATGAAAAACTCAGTCTTGTTAAAGTAGATTGCACCCCTAGCCCCAGTTAATCATTTCATAAATCACATTTTACTCATCTGCTTGTCAGGTGAGTGTATGAATGGCTTCAGGGCAATCCATTTTAGATAACAGAAAAATAACTCAAAAGTATACAATCTTTGGGTACTGTGGGTCAATAGCATTATTTTTCTACGGGCAAAGCAAAAGTCCTATGATTTTTACATGAAATGATGTGAAATGCATATTTGTTACACATAAGCTGGAGACTGTAAGATTCCAGGTCTGATTAAGAATTTATATGGGAATTAATCTCATCTATCTCTTACTGGGAAACCTTTTGGGATAATGTCTCCTACCCATGTACCAGCCGTAGGACAGCATGGGACAGTGGGAAAGAACACTCAATTGGGAATCAGGCTTTGCTATTGACTACCTGTGTGACTTTACAGAAATCATTTCACCAAGCTAGGCCTCATCTATAAAATGAGAGTGCTGGACCCATCAATGGCTCTGCTCTCTAAGCTCCCTTCCAGCTCTAAGAGTCTACTATTCCTAGGAGAGAGCTTTTCTAAGAACGCTTATTGAGAAGCTGGAGAGTCTAGAACAGGAAGAGGTGACAGCTACGTGGAACTACTTTTTTTTTTTCCAGAAAATATCACCTTTCTCTTGAATATCTTCCACTGAGTTTGGATAATTCTGGCAGCTTTATCTCTACTGTGCGCTTTGTTCCGTGCATCAGGGTGGAAAGTAGGAGACTGAATGGACACATTACTTGAACTCGACACAAAACCTTGCTGAGTTTGGATACAGGTAATGTTGGAGGAGATAAAGGCATCTTCCTGAGTCTGCAAGAAATTCAAGATAGAAAAGAATGAGTCATGGAAGGAAATGAATAAGTAGAAGCAGGGTAGATAACTATCAGGTAAGGTGGCAGGATATTACTTCGCATGACAGCAGGATATTCTGATCATGCCTTTTAATTTGAAGAAAAGTTGTACACACTGATCAGCTTGACAAAATCTTTGATGAGAAACAAAGTACAAACTGTAAAATGGATTCAAAGTCATTTTTCATTAAAGTTTCTAAATTTTTTTCTGGCAGCACTCTTCTTGTTGGAAAAAAAAAAAAACCAACCCTGATATCACTTGTGATCCCACCAACATGCAATACTTCAATCTTTTTCTGGTGGGTTTCAAAAAGCCTTCCTGACATTAATTAATTAATTATTCTCACATCCCAAGGCAGTAAGTAGGTGAAAAATATCAGCATCCCTATTTTATAGCTTGAGAACACTTAAAGCACAGAGAAGGTTATTAATATTTTCTGAGGTCACAAAGCAACTTAGCAGCACTAAAGATGGAACATAGAATACCTGCTTCTTGGGTTACTTAGTGCCATGACTGATCAATGCCAACATTAATGATACCTAACATCAAATGATAGGCCAAATTCTTCTGTTGGTAAAGATATTTCCTAGGGTTGGCGCAGAGGAAGGAGAATTTTGAGTTTGAATTAACTTTCTGAGGCCAAGAAGCATTTCTAGCATTACTACTATTTCCAGTAGTCTGAGTCACTATGTCTATAAAATGGTTTATAATTTAAATAATCATTTCTTAAATTAGAATTAACGAATAAAAGCAAACTTCTGATGTTGTTACAGAGATGATAACTGGAAAAGTCCTAGGTTTGTGTTTGTTTTTAGTTATTACCTTGGCTTAATTAATATACAGAAAGTACAGGTGGTAGGGTTAAACATGATAAATATCATTTTGGTTTAGGTTAGAGGAAAGAAGTTTTTCCATTATAACCATCAAATTGTTACTGTTTCCATATTGACACCAGCTTTCGAGCATACATTTTCTTTCTATACATCTTGATTTTATATTTCTAACAACGAAAATACTAATCTTTAAACTCAGTGGAGACAAAGTTATTGGAAAAAGATCTCACAAAGGAAGCAATCCAAAAAAACTATTAAAAATTTAAAACTAGGTCAAATGCCTAGGCCAGATCAATAATAGGTTTTTAATAGAATACTGCCCAGAACAATTAGCTGCCATCGTATCTGTTTGGCCAAGCATACCAACCTGATTTTTCCCAAGGTTTCTGTAACTTGGTTTAGTTACCCTATTTTATTTTCTGATAATGACCCCTCCCTTCCCTCAGAGTACTGTGATCTCATGGACAATGATGCTCTATTGAAGGGAGCAACTTGTCAATTTATTAACAGTGTAATGGGAAAGAATGGTAATTACAACTGCATCTGATTACAGCCTGCAAGATTTTTTACTCTTAGAACATATTAACACACTTCATACATAGTTGAAGAAAAGGAAGTCTTACTTAAGCAACTTGACAGCAAGTTCTAATTTTTCAAATTATAACACATTGAATTCCTTATGGCAATGGCTAGACACGGTAATAAGCTGGATTACACTGTTCCACTTAAATGCATTAAAATGATCATTAGCAATTAGTAATATCCAGATCTCGCTTCCCTATTTAGAGGACTACTCCAACCCTACCCAAGAGCCCCACCTTTCTTTGAATAAACACTAGACACTCTTGGCTCCTCTGCTTCAAAAACAAACAAACAAACAAACAAACAAAGGTTATTGGAATAAAAACTTTCCATGCCAATTACTTTATTACCCCATTTTTCAAAGATGTTCTCTATCACCTATTTATTATAAAAATTTAGGGCCTATAGCAAGTAAATTAAAAAAATTAGGAAATGAATTAGGAAGAAAAAAATAATCAATAGATTATCTCCTGGTAGAAATAAAGGGATCTTAAATGTCTAAAAATAGAAATTGCTGTGAACATCTCTGACTATAACTATATAAGGATTTAAGCTTTAACAGGGTAATAGAAAAAGTCATTATGTTATCCAGCTTTTCAGTTTCTTGCAGGAGTTGTTTCTATAAGGACAAGAGTTTGAGACTGTCCAGTTTTAGAAGAAAAAAAGATGCCAAAATGAAAAAACACAGAGTTCAACTGTAGAGCCACTGGACAAATTTCCTCAAATCTTAGCCAATACAAATTCAGCTGCTGACTATAGCACTGAATACTCTGAAGCCAAGACAATAACTAGGGAGGCAAAGGTGTTAGGAGACCCTGCTGATATGGCAACTCAGCATTTAATCGAGTTACTAGACGGTTTCAATGCCGAATTACTGAGACTAAGCAAAAGGATGAAACCTCTTGGCAAATGTGAAAAGGGCACCAGATACATGCCTCCATCTTTTAAATTCAGATAACCAGCCACAATATCAGAACCTTAAGAAAATGAAAGGAGAAAGAATGAAGAAAAAAAAAACGAACACCATACAAGAGAATTGTCTTTCCTGAATGGAATTCAGTCCAACACAATAGTGCAAAGATAGGCATTCATTGCACTAAAGCCATTTCTTCTCTAAGTCTCCAAATTAGTATGCTGAAAAGACAAGAAAATAGGACAGACGTGTTTGTATCTCATTTTCCTTTAATGGCCTAGAGAACATCTCATGGGGGAAGAGATTAAGGAAGAGTTTAAACAAACTGGGATGAGCTTTAATCTAAGAGAAACTAAGAAAACACATTCTCAAACATGTGGGGAAATCCTTATTCCTCAAGGAATATGGAATTTTTCTCTAAAAGGGTTAAAATTCTAAGAGAAGTATCTAAATTTACTGAAGGACACTGGAGAATTAATATACACAATATGGATTTCACTTTGTTAACAACTTTTCAAGTCCAAGATAGCCTTCATTCCCATTCATTCATTCAACAACCCTGATGAAGTGCCTACTATGTATAAGATACAAGAAAAGATAAAAGAAAAATAAGACACAGTCCCTGCCCTCAGATAACTTCTGTTTATATATGAGATGAAATGTATAAGATAGAACCTGATATGTGCATAAAAGAAGTGTGAACAATGTGTTATGAGAAACCACAGGAAAAGACAGACATTGATTTCAGCTGGAACTTATGTGGAAAGGCATCTCTATGTCACCTGAGAAGCTTTTCCTGAAGTTGGCATTCTTTTGTATTTTTTACAATACCTCCAAAAATAATTAGAAATGTATGGCTAAATATTAATCTTATCTGAAACCTAAAGCAGGGGAAAAAATTGGTTATATATAATGCCATGTCATTTAAGTGATTAGAGTTCCTGTATTCTTAGGATATAGAGTAGAAGACTCTGAACTCTCTGCTTTGCTGCCATTCTGTTTCCAATTGGAGATCCTGCCTGATGTTAGACAATATCTCACAGCAAATCTGAGCATTCAGGCAAACAAAGAAACTTTTCAAAAATGGCTAATTTCTCCGTATGACTGGAAGAGTGTTTCTGCATTACTTAGTATGTAACTCAACATACTGGAAAAACCACCCTAAAAACACACTTTAGGTATAGTGCATAAATTATGCTTTATTCAACAATGAAAAATGTTTTCCTTCTGAAACAGAATTAAATTGTTTAATAGGTATTTCTCCAGACAGCAGTGTGTATGTCAATAACAAAACAACACTGTACAAGCTATCAGGTGGAAGTCACACTAGCCTGTACTATGGGAAAACCTGATCTTCCCTGTTAGCTGTCAGGTTTGTGGCTTATTCAAATTTTGCAAGTAAAACTATGCTAGTGAGGTTTTTCAAATACTTAACAAATTTTTTTTTCATCTATGCCAAGAGTTGAAGTGCTTATAGTTCTACGTTTATTGTAGGATAAGGAGCCATAAAATTAAAAGTGGCATATAAAGGAATCAATTTTGTTAAAGAAAAAGAAAAACTAAATACAAATTTTATTTTCAATTGGTGGCATACACAAAGAAAACTTCAGCCTTATTAATTCTTATTTTTTAAAAGGCCCCCAGGAAACTACATAGAAACACAACCTTTAAAAAAAAGGTTTCTTCTAAAAGCAATAAAGTCTTGAATTGAATCTGTGATCCCTGTGTACCAGGTAGAAGCCAAAGATTGGTCTGCCAGCTAAGAATCGATTTCAACCTTCCAGTTTCCTTTAACAACAATGAACAAAAAGCTATAGCCAAAGAAAGCAAAGATTCTTCGGGATAAACTACTTACCTATTTCGGGTATGTGTTTTGGGGACATTTCAGCCTAAACTGCCCTTCTCTGTCATATGCATACATGATGCTTCTCTCAGAGCAAGTAGCAGCCTAAGGGATTTTAATATTTAAATTCTCAGCCTGGTGTTGGTTCTGCTTTGGCTTTCTATTGTATGGATTCAAAAGAGTCCAAGAATAAACTAGCAGGGAAACAACAGAGAAGCACAGAAGCTCAGAATTGAAAAGGACCTTAGAGCTTATCTAGTTCAACCTCCACTCGGACAGAGGGGTTACAGCCAGAAGGGACCTCAGAAATTCTCTAGTCCAATCCCCTCCTTCTACAGATGAAGAAAATGAGGATGCTTGGAGAGGTGGTGACTTTCATAGTGCTGTACAGCAAATCAGTTGCCTACAGCAGATACTCCCTAAGAGAAGATAGTTGGATCTTTCTGACACGTTCAAGGCTGACAGGGGCCAAGCCAGGGTACCTGCTGGCAAAAAAGAAAACCTCTAACAACCCAGCCCAAATGCCTCAAAATACACATTTGTAGGTCTGTAAACAAAAAAGGAAGGAAAAGAGGTGTGGGTGTATCCAGATGGACATCTGTCTGCTCACTAGGACATGCACAGAGATCTACCCAGCTTCCAATTTACTTCTAACAAGATGTTTACAATCAAACCAAATCTCTTCTTCTCAAGAGTTATATTCTAATATATTTTTCCTCTGAGTACAATTACACATTTGAAAAATTCTATAATCTTGAATTTTTTTGCATATTTCAAGAACAGCAGTGAAGGGAAGTGCCAGAGTGAATGTACCCTTGCTTGTTATGCCTTACCAATATACTGTTCTAGAAAGGAAAGTAACTGAAGAGCATAACCAACTCTTGAAGTAAGAGCAGATTCACGAAGCCAACTTGCTGATGATAAATTCATTATAAACTTCAATCTATAAAATAATAACTTAAGACATAGAAACCTGTTAGGATAACAAATGCGAAATTCATTTGTGAAAAGCCAGTTAAGAAAAAGTTTCAACCTGAGAAAAAGTTAAAATCATCCCTTAAAACTAGCTTGAGAGACCTTCAGAGCCTGAACATGGGGTAGGGAAAATACAGTTATGTATACCTCATGTGTTATCTCCATGGGATCATCTTCAATCTTTCTCTGGTCCACTTCTGTCTCTTGCAACTTCTTGGTAAGTCTCTGAATTTCCTCTCTGAAGTGGTAAGGGCAAAGATAAAATATTACTTGTAATCATAATCTTTCTTTCGAATGGTGGAATTTGATGAATGTTCCACAGTGAGAAATAGGCACCCATTAGGTTGACATATTGGCGCTATTAATAACGTGGTTTTTTTGTGTTTTTTTAGGCAATTGGGGTTAAGTGACTTGCCCACGGTCACACAGCTAGAAAGTGTCAAGTATTTGGTCTGGGGCCGAATTTGAACTCAGGTCCTCCTGACTCTAAGGCCGGTGCTCTATCCACTGCGTCACCTAGTTGCCCCAATAATGCATTTTGTCTGACCTCAAAACCTAGTGAGACAAAATGAAAATTACATAGGGACCAGATACCAAACCTGGCTTGGACTCAGACCTAGCATTAACTTAAATAGATGTAAGCTTGAGAGCAGGAACCATATACTTCCATTAAAAAGCATTATCCTACTTAGGTTAAATGGTTATAATAGGCAACGAGAAGGGGAAAAATATAATTCCTCATTACAAACACTAAAGATCCTTTAGTTTTCACCAAATATATCCTTTCCTGACTTGTTTAAATTCCCAGCTTTTTTAAAAAAAGGTTAAAGTACTATTTATTCCCTTTTCTCCCCCAAACAAATCAAGTTGTCTTCTTCAACTGATCATTTCCAAGAATTTCTTACTGATGACTCTCAGTGCAAAATATTTCTGTTCAGCTTCTGCTTTTAGCTCATCAATACTTTCAGATTAGATCTTCAAATTTTGCATTTTTTGACCCCATTCAAAATACACCAGCATGCATTTTATATTTTCTTTTCAAATTCAGGACACTTCAATCCATCTACCTCATGGTATCTTCTTTCTCCTTCCTGTCTTTCTCCGTCTCCTCCACTTTTTTCAGTTCCTTCTCCAAAGTAGATTTTGCCTGTAGTAACTGCTTCATTTCCAAACTGAATATACAGGACCAGAGGCAAATTTCAGTGTTCATTTAACATATTTTTAGTTATCATTATCTAGCTTAATCAAATGATTACAGAAATTATTTGCTATTCAAAACAATTACCTTAAATACCACCTATTTAAATGTGAATTTTTCAAATTTGGAATTAATTTAAAGTGTTTCTTTGTTCACACAAAATATAGCATTTTAATTATAACCAGAAGGATAATAGGAATGACAGGGTTTGGCTTCAGTGTGACTGCACTCTAAAAAGACAGAACTTAGCAGGCTAAATCACCAGGACCAAAGTAGAATGCCAACCAAACAGCATGATACTCAGAAACTACAGAGATAAACTCAATCTCTAAAAGTTAGATTTATTCTAACCTAGACCAGATTTGTGATTAGACAGAGTAGGAAAGAAACAGCAATGCCACTATAAAAGGAACCAAAAACAAGGTACCAGAGGAAGAAAACTGAACAGGAAAAAATTCAACATTTTTTTTGCTTTACCAAATTCTCACAACAAAAATGAAAAGGATATAAAATTGGATCAAATACTGTTATAATGGTAAACAAACCAACAAACAAAAAAAACCAATTCAGTCACTGGCCTGTTTATTTCAAGCAACATATGACTAAAATTTCACTATAAAAAGAACTGGAAACTCCTTTGGAAGTCACTACAATGGGATGTGACCCGGATTTTCATTTTTAAGTAATTTTTCTAATACTGTGATTTAACCCATTTTTTATGTACTGTAATTTATATGCATTAGGGGTAACTTAGCAAATGTTTTATTACCACTAAAACAAAATTTGAAGCCAAAGTCTAAGAAATTTCAGCATAGTAAACAATTCTTTATTGAACACTGCCAGTTTTGGACCTAACATAAAGATGGATTTCCCCCAAACAAAGCTAGATTACTTCAGGTGCAAAATTTTTTAACACGAAGCAGCAAGAACTTTTTCACATGGTGGAAGGAGGGTAGCTGTGTTGTAAAGAGACGTACTCTTTATCAGACAGCTGAGCTTGCAGGGCGCTCCGGTCCCCCTTCAGCTTTCTTACTATCCCTCGAAGTCTCTCACACTCCTCAGAGTGCTCAGATCTCAGCAGATCTTGCTGTGCTGTGTTTGGTGCTGACTGAATCAAGGGAACCAATCTGACCTGTTCTGGAGAACGAGATCCTGTGTTCTCGAGCTCACCCACTTTCTGAAAACAAACACAAATACTTAGCTATTATTTTTCTTATTCTTAGGTTTCATAGGCTTTATAGCTGGAAGTGACCTTCATAGGTCTCATACTGGCTTCGAGAGGGGACAGAGCTTGTCCAAGGGTCCACATTAAGTAGCAATGCTGGGATTCAAACCCAAATCTTCTGACTCTAAACCCAGTGTTCTATAATAATACAAATATCTGATGAAATCCTGGATAAGTACAAGAAACCAAAAGGAAATTAGGCTTAAGTCACAAGGAACTTTGCCTGTTATACAGTATACTAAAAGAATAAAGGTTGCAATTAATTAAAAATTCTGAGGCTTTGGCAATGCTAACCAGTATAATACATAACTTAGGGGAAAAGAGAAAAGTTCTTGTGAGAATTAGCAGACTCAAAAAGGTAGCAACAGAAATGCATATCAAAAGTTAGCTCTGGATCATTTAATAATGTTAGCTTAAATTTTTGTAACATTTTACAGTTTACAGAAGACTTTCCTTACAACAGTCCTGTGAGATAGTGTTTTTACACAGAAAAGACTGAGGCTCAGAGAGGTTAGGCAACTTGTACAAAGGCACACATAGCTAATAAGAATGGAACCAGGATCTGAATTTGGGTCTCCTAAGCCAAGGCCAGTCCTCTTTCCATTACTCTGGAGCTTCTAGGGGAGAAGAGTTTAGAGCTCAGGTTTAGAGTCCTAGGTAGGTGCATGGGATGACGAAGAAGCCAGAGACTGCTATGAATAAAAATGAGCTGTAGGCTGGTAGGCCAGCTTTAGGGCTTTTGATGTGTCACTTGTTATTTTTCATTCTCTAGGATCCTTCTTATAACCTACAAAACCTGAATTTTTAATTTAAGAGAAAAAAATTTGTTCTGCTATATGTGAGCCAGAAACATCTCAGTTCTCCATTTCTATCACTTCTTCTCTAAAACTACTTACTTTCAAGAAACTTTTCAGATATGCCAAAAAAAATTTATAACCACTTTTAAGCTCCTTAAACTGAAAAAAAATATTTTTCTTATGGAAGTGAATATTGAAAACTAAAAATAAATTAATTAATTTTTAAAAAATTTATTTTTGAGGTATTTGCCATTTTCCCTAAGCATCTACTTTGTACCTGTGAGAAATTTTAGGAAAAGATTTAAATTTTTCCTTTAAAGTATGTTGACATTCTATTAAATTTCAAAGGAATTAGTTTGGTTACTTATTAAAGATTTGTGTTAAGGATTTAGAAATGCAAGTAAGTTTATAAGCTTTCCAGCAGGTAAAGTGCTATGTAACATTGTGTACTGCACAAACAAGTAGAAGAGGAAAAAAAAGTACCTGTACTACACCAATGGGCATTCTGGGGCAGGCTGCTTAATGTCTCAAAGCCTCGACTGGCTTTCTTTAAAAATTTTTTTTCATTCTAAACTTACACCAAAAGAGTATTTCCATACATAACAGCAAAACACAAAAAAAGGATTCTATAATGAAACCTGGCTCTCCATCTCATACCACCTGCTTAAAAAAAAAAGCATATAACAAATTCTACACATTACTATCCTGTTTGTGCTTCCTTCTGAATTTTATTTTCTCCTTTGTGAATAAAAAAAAAAAAGATTTTTTTTTTGGCATTACTATTATGAACCCCCCTTCCCAATTAAAAACCAAGAGAAAGAGAGGGAAAAAAAAACCCCCTGTAACAAATAAGCATAGTCAAGCAGAAAAAATCCACACAGTGGCCAGAAGAAATGATAATTGCACTCATGGTTGCCAAACGAGATAGTATAGAGAGAAAAGAGAGGGCCCAAGACAAGCCTTGGGTTTTCCCCCAGTTAGTAAACATGATATGAAGATGCAGTACAGCAGACTGAAAAGCAACAATCAGATTAGTAGCTGGAGAACCAGAAGAGAACTATGTCATGAAAATCCATAGAGGACAGTGAATACAGGAGAAGAAACTGATCAAGAATGTTAAATACTTTAATAAAATAGAAAATCATTATCAACAGTACAAAAGAGATAATAAGGAAATAGAACCAAATATAGGATTCATGTTTTACAAACTCAGTATTATAAAAACCATTAGGGAAAGGAATTCTTTTTTTTTTTTTAAGTGAGGCAACTGGGGTTAAGTGACTTGCCCAGAGTCACACAGCTAGGAATTATTATGTGTCTGAGGACAGATTTGAACTCAGGTGCCCCTGACTCCAGGGCCGGTGCTCTACCCACTGCGCCACCTAGCTGTCCCTTGGGAACGGAATTCTAAAAGAAAATCTATCATCTCAATTTTGAAAGAGAAAAATGTTTATCTTTTGAACATATGGGAGAAATTATTAGACAAAGTTTGTTTGATAATACAAAAAAAATTATACAACAAAAAGCAATGTATTCAAAATAAAAAGAAACAGGGGAGGAAGGGGCGGAGCCAATATGGCAGAGGGAAAGCAGTGACTTGCCTGAGCTCTCCCTCAAACCCCTCCAAATATCTATAAAAAATGGCTCTAAACAAATTCTAAAGCAGCAGAACCCACAAAAAAACAGAGTAAAACAAATTTCCTGCCCAAGACAATCTGGATGGCTGATTGGAAAGGTATATCATGCTGGGTGGGGAGAGGAGCGCAGTTTGGCATGCGTGCACAGGCCGCAGAGACCCTGGAGCAGACCTCAGAGGACTGAATCGCCGGCAGCTGTGGTGGTTCCCAGACTTCTTAACTCATGAACGCCAAAGACAACTTAGAAGGTGAATGGGAAAAGTCTGTGACTGTGGGGAGAGAAGGAGCTAGGTCTCAGCCACAAGTCCTGAGTGTGGGCCGCGGCTGCCTCCTGAGCTTCCAGCCCATAGACTGAGGGGGAATCGAGTGGCTGATCAGAAGGGGATTGCAGGGATCTTTTTGCCAGGGCTGAGGCAGGAATCTCTTGCTTTGCCTGTGCTTGGATCTGGGTCACAGTTCTGAGGGGCGGTCCTGGGGCGAGGAGGAGCACTGGTGTGGTGGAGTTTGTTGTGGTGGTGGAGAGGAAATACCTCTCCCTTTATCATAGCACCTTGGAAGAACTGAAAATTTTCAGGTCCCTAGAAGTATCTCTGAAAACAGCTGTACAAACCCCCGAAGCTTGGGACAGTACATTCTCCACATTGGAAACAGACTCTTACCTTAACAAAGAATTTAAAACTCAAGTAATTGGTTGGGATCATGAGCAAGCAGCGCAAAAGAGAGCCAGACTATATTATCTTACTTTGGTGACAAAGAAGATCAAAACACACAACCAGAAGAAGACAACAAAGCCAAAGCTCCTACATCCAAAGCCTCCAACAAAAATATCAATCAGTCCCGGGCCTTGGAAGAGCTCAAAAGGGATTTTGAGAAGCAAGTAAAAGAAGTAGAGGAAAAATTGGGAAGAGAAATGACAGTGATGCAAGAAAATCATGAAAAGCAAGTCAACAGCTTGCTAAAGGAGACCCAAAAAAATACTGAAGAAAATAACACCTTAAAAAATAGCCTAACCCAAATGGCAAAAGAGGTCCAAAAAGCCAATGAAGAGAAGAATGTCCTAAAAAGCAAAACTGGACAAATGGAAAAGGAAGTCCAAAAGCTTACTGAAGAAAATACTTCCTTAAAAATTCGAATAGAGCAGTTGGAAGCTAGATGACTTTATGAGAAATCAAGACACTGTAAAACAAATCCAAAAGAATGAAAAATTAGAAAACAATGTGAAGTATCTCATTGGAAAAACAACTGACCTGGAAAATAGATCCAGGAGAGAGAATTTAAAAATTACTGGACTATCTGAAAGCCATGATCAAAAAAAGAACCTGGACATCATCTTGCAAGAAATGATTAAGGAAAACTGCCCTGATATTTTAGAACCAGAGGGCAAAATAGAAATTGAAAGAATCCACCGAACTCTACCTGAAAGAGATCCCCAAAGGAAAACTCCTAGGAATATCGTAGCCAAATTCCAGAGCTCCCAGGTCAAGGAGAAAATATTACAAGCAGCCAGAAAGAAACAATTCAAGTATTGTGGAAACACAATCAGGATAACACAAGATTTAGCAGCTTCTACATTAAGGGATGGCAGGGCATGGAATATAATATTCCAGAGGGCAAAGGAGATAGGATTACAACCAAGAATCACCTACCCAGCAAAACTGAGTATAATCCTTCAGGGGAAAAAATGGTCATTCAGTGAAATAGAGGACTTTCAAGCATTCTTGATGAAAAGACCAGAGTTGAATAGAAAATTTGACTTTCCAATACAAGACTAAAGTGGAACATGAAGAGGTAAACAGGAAAGAGGAATCATAAGAGACTTATTAAGGTTGAACTGTTTACATTCCTGCATGGAAAGATGATATTTGTAACTCATGAGACCTTTGTCAGTATTAGGGTAGCTGGAGGGAAAAAATTATATGTATGTGTAGATATATATATATATATATATGTATAGATATAGATAGATAGATAGAGGGCACAGATGAGTTGAAGATGAAGGGGTCATATCTGGAGAATAAAATTAAGGGATGAGAGAGGATTATACTAGGAGAAGGAGAAAGGGAAAGGTAGAATGGGGTAAATTATCTCACAAAAAAAAAAACAGAAAAGAAAAGGCTCTTACAGTGGAAGGGTAATGGGAGAAGGTGAGAGGGAATGAGTGAATCTTATTCTCATAGGATTTGACTTAAGGAGGGAATAACATACACACTCAATTGGGTATGGAAATCTGTCTTAACCTACAGGAAAATAGGAGGGAAAGGGGACAAGAGAGTAGGGGGATGATAGAGAGGAGGGAAGATTTGGAAAGGGGCTAATCAGAAGCAAATATTTCTGGGGAGGGGCAGGGTCAAAAGACAGAATAGAATAAATGGGGGGGTGGGATGGGATTAAGGGAAACAAAGTTAGTTTTTCACAGCATATCTACTATGGAAGTGTTTTGCATAACTGCACATGTATAGCCCATATTGAGTTGCTTGCTTTTTCAATGAGGGTGGGTGGGGAGGGAGGAAGGGAGAAAATTTGGAACCTAAAGTTCTAAAAACACATGTTTAAAAAAAAATGTTTTCACATACAACTGGGAAATAAGAAATACAGGAAATGGGGTACAGAAATCTATCCTGCCCTACAGGAAAATAGAAGGGAAAGGCAGGGAGAGATAGCAGGGAGAGCAGACTAGGGGAAGGGGTATTCAGAATGCATGCCATCTTGGGGTGGGAGGAGAGGCGAGATGGGGTGAAAATTTGTAACTCAAAATCTTGTGAAAGTAAATGTTGAAAACTAAAAATAAATAAATTTATTTAAAAAGAAAAGAAAAGAAAAAAAACAAAAAACAAAAACAAAACAAACAAAAAAAAAGAAACGGGAAAATCCTTAACTACTCAAATGTAAATATAGCAAGTAAAAAAAAAATCTATTTTCTAGAATCCATAGGAGACTGACACAAGTTTAAAACAGTAAAACCTATTCCCTAATACAAACATAAGAACAAAAAATTTCTGAAAGAGAAAACACAAACCGGTAATTATCACTTGAAAATGTGTTCAAACTCTAACATAAGAGAAATACAAATTAAAACAACTCTAAGGTCCCACCTTATATCCATCAAATTGGCAAAAAATTAAAAACAATAAAATTCAATGTTGGGGGGGCAGGGTTTTGGTGGTGGTGGACTGCTAGGTACTCTTTGTTTCATTAATGGCAGAAATGAATTTTGTATATAATATTTCGGACAGCCCTCTAGAAGTTGATAATAAAAACTGTAAAACTCTGATCCAGTGATCTCACTACTAGGGACACATACTATAGATACTATGAAAACAGCTATTGCTACTTTGTTTGGAGTAGTGAAAATCTAGGAAAAAAAATACCCCAATATAACCAAGTTTGAAAACAGTTAAATAAAATATAATAAATCAATATAATAAAATATCATTGTAATATAAAAATTACATATATAACAAATACAGCATGGGCTGCTGGACTTAAAGTTAAGAGACCTATGTTTGAATCCTGGCTCTGTGACTACAGTAAATCACGTAACTTTCCTGAGTCTTAATTATTTCCTCATATGTAAAATGAAGATACTTGTATTATCTTTTCACAGGGGTTGTTTTAAGGAAAACACTTTAAACTGCTATGCAAATGTGCATTAGTAATGCCAAGAAATATAGGCGTAAAGTGATAAAAAGTGAAGAAAACAAAATTAGAACAATATTATGCATTATAACTATACAAAAACAAAAGCAACACAACTTAAGAAGTACATAGATGCCTGGCACATAGTAGATATTTAAGAAATGCCTATTTGCTGACTAAAAAAGACTGGAAAAAAGAGGTGGGTTCTCCTCCTTCCACCATCCCAAAAATAGAGAACAAAACACAAGAAAGACCAGAAGGAATCGTAGATAAACAGGATAGCTTTGAAAGTTATGTACTGAATGCATTATTTAAAAAAAAAACAAAAACAAAACTTTGCATAAAAGAGCTTTGCAATTTCATGTACGATCTTTTCCTGCCCTAATAATATATATGGAAATGCTCATTTCATTTGGTATTTGTTAGTTTCAGAATTTTAAAAACTAAATGAATATATTTAAAAAGAGAGACAAGAGGACACAGAGCAAATAAATTATTGTTAATAATGTGCTTGACAGACAGCCTTGGAGGCAGGAAGAGCTGGGTTCAAGTCCCACTAACTGAAGACAAGATTTCTGTGTGACTCCATGCAAGTCACTTAACCACTCGCTGTTCCTGATAACTCTCTCTTTTTTTTTTTCAGAGGTAACTGGAGTTAAGTGACTTGCCTGGGATCACACAGCTAGAAAGTTTCTGAGGCTGGATTTGAACTCAGGTCCTCCCAACTCCAGGTCTGATGCTCTGTCCACTGAGCCACCTAGCTGTCCTGTCCCTGATAACTTTCTACCCTGCAGAACAGTGGCTGATCTCCACTGCTAAAGTTTCCTCACTGAGAGTTCCCTACACCAATGAAATCACTGACCTGGACCATGTAAAAACGGTCACAATTTGTCAAGAAGGCTAATATTTCACTTGTTGGGCCAGTTTTTAAAAAATAATTAAAAAAATATAGTCATGTCACTTCAAAAATTTTAAACAGAATAAATTAAACAAAAATTAAATATAAATACACAAATACAAAATAAAGTTTAAAAACTATTTTTAAAATAATTAAGTCACTCACCTTTTCCAACTCTGAGATTCGTCTCATTAGCCTTTGTTTACTCCATTCACTATAACCTAAAGGGAACAACAATGCTTTTAATAGACAATCAGTCAGCATTTATTAAGCTCCTACTATATGCCAGGCATTGTGCAAGGTTGTGAGGATACAAAGTCAAAAATAACAGTCCTTCCAGGGAAGGTAACACATATATAAATAAGTATATGCAAAATAAATAGGAGGTAAAGGAGGGGAAGGGAAAGGAGTGGCATTATAAGCATCATCAAGAAAGGCTTCATGTCGAAGGCGGCAATGAAGCAGAGTTTTGATGCTAAAAGGTACAGCACATTACAGGTATGGGTCATAGTCAGAACAATGGCACAAAGAAGGGACATGGGTGTTTTGTGTGGAAAATAGCAAGAAAGGCAGTTTGGCAGACACAGGGTATGGACAGGGAACAGAGTAAGGAATAACAAACAGAACCATCCATTTAAAGGGGCTAAATACAACAAACTTTCAGAAGCTGATGCAGAAGGTGTGATAAGAGGGAATGAAATAAGCATTTATAGACGCTTATTATGTGCCAGGCACTATGCTAAGAGTTCTGCAAATATTATCTCATTGGATCCTCACAACAACCCTAGGAGGTAGGTGCTATTATTATCCCCATTTTGCAGTTGAGGAAACTGAGGCAAACAAAGCTTAAGTGACATGCCCAAGGTCACACAAGTCAGTAAATGTCTGAGACTGGATTTGAACTCTAGTCTTCTTGACTTCAGGCCCAGTGATCCACCTACTGTGCCACCAGCTGTGCCTCTATAACACTAAAACCCTGAATACCACTCTTAGACCATGCTAAAATTCAGAGGGTATTTTTCAAGTCATGTCAAGGTTCATTTGCTAATGGTAATTAACCATATTAACTGCATAGTTAGACTTTTCAAACGATAAAATCTCCCCAAAGCTTTGCAGCCTTGTTTCAGATATGAGAGATATGCCACCTAAGCCATGTGGTTAGAAAGAGTAAGGGCTGGGACTCCCACAGCATCCTTGCTCTTTGCCCTCATGGAAAACCTGAAGCTAAATCCCTTCAATTGTAAATGCTCTTGTAGATGATACCTTTTGCTTTGTTAGAAATAGGGGAATTGCTTAGCACCCGGTCCAGATCTTCTTTCAAGCTTTGGTTCTCTTCCTGAAGTTCTTGAACATTTCTAGACAAGTGTAGGACAGTAGCACTCAATTTCTTCTGCTTTTTCTGAGTTGACTTCTTGTCGGCTGGGGACCTATATGCAAAACAGACCAAAAAGTGAAATAGCTCAATGATAAACAAATGATTTCTAAACAGATACAGTAAATGTCATAAATCAGGAGAAGAGATTATATCTTTCTCTTCACAAACGATTTAAACTAAAATAAACCAATTAGATACTCTTTTCAATGTCCAAGGTAAACCTTAGCCCAGGGATTATTTTTCCTATGCTTTAAAAAAAAAACCACAGATAAATAACTCTCTTGCTCCATATTCAAAGAGAAATACTTTAATTCTAAAACACAGATAGCTAGAATGGATGTGGGGGAGAGACATTATCTTCGAAAACACTTTGGTAGGTCCAAAGCTATGCTGTTCAATCATTTTTTTTTTGAGTCTGACTCTTCATGACCCCATTTAGAGTTTTCTTAGCAAAGATAACGGAGTGGTTTGCCATTTCCTTCTCCAGTGCACTTTACAGATGAGACACTGAGGCAAACAGAGTTAACTGACTTGCCCAGGGTCACACAGACAGTAAGTGTCTGAGGCCAGATGTTAACTAAGGAAGAGGACTCTTCTTGACTTTTCAGGCCCAGTACTCTATTCACTGTGCCACTTAGCTGCCCCCCAAGCTATAATGTTCCTCTTAAAACTCTACCTGTCTTTGAAACCTTCTGATTTGCCTATTTTTACCAAAGTTAACATTAAGAATCCTGAAGTTCTAAGTCTAATCTCAACAGAAGGTGGAAATAGTGCTCCAAATGGTGGTAAGGAGAGAGAACTTGAAATCAAATCAATAATCCAAAAATGTGAGAACATGAGCAATAAAGCATTAAGAAACCTATGCTAAGATAGAACCTCTGATAACTAATATTTTATTCCCTGGACCATGGGAGAGGGCTTCTGCCTGGCATTTTATGTTCTTCCCAGTCTAGCTCCAACTTATCTTTCCACGCTTACTGCCCAAGACTCTACTACATCTACTCTTATGTTCCAACCAATCTGCCCCTGCCTACAGACCACTTCCTTGTCATCTGCAACTTGTACAATTGATCCCTAGCTTCTGTCATGGTTCATCTCAGGTGCCACATCCTACAAGAGGCCTATCCAGAGCCTCTCAGTTGCTAGTGAATATTCTGTATGCACCTATTTGTATTTCTACTGTTCCCCTGTCTCCCTCGAAATGGAAACCTTTGGAGGACAGTAACTGTTCTGTTTTATCTTTATGTTCCCAGGATCTAGCACAATGCCTGGCATATAATAAACACTTAATAAATACTTGTTGGATGAATGAATGGAAAATCTGATGTTCTTCCAGATAAAGTAAACTGAAAGAAATGAAAGTGGAAGAATAAAACTGAACTGAGATAGTAGCTTATGTAATGTAGTGGGAAAAGCAATGGACTTGAAGTCAGGAGATCTAGGTTTTAATCCTGACTCCAACATTTAACTGTGTGATCACGGACATGCCACTTGACCTCTCTGAGACTCAAGTTTCCTCATTTATGCAATGAAGACATGATACACTTAACTCATAGAGCTACTGAAAGAAAAATTCTTTGCAAACCTTAATGCATTATATGAAAGTATTAATAATAATAAGACAGGAATAGTTTAAGAACTAGCATCTCTGTAGCAGAGCTGATTGACTAAACACACTACCAACAATTAACAAACTAAATATGAGAATCATCTCTGTGATTTGAGAAGCTCAGATGCCTAGATGTGAGAGGTCTAACTAACTATTCTTTTTTCTTAAAGGAAAGGTGTTTCAAGGCGCATCAAAGTAATGGACATCAAAAGTTCCTAGGTGATTATTTCCTTTGTTATAACAGTTTAAATAATGTGAATCAATATACAAAATATGTGCCCCCAAAGAGACTAACATACTTCTTTCCTGTTGTTTCGGTATTTGCCAAAAGAACCTGAAGACGATGGATCTGTAAAATACCAAAGTTAGAATGCATTTTAAAAAGCAGATCACTAGCATGGAAAAGAGCCTCCTTTGAGGACAACTCCACTAGAGTTCTGAGCGTTGCTTAGGACCAAGACGAACCAAAGTTTGACATTATGTTTTCACCTAAAAGTCATGACAAAGTAAGGGCACACAATCCTGGCAATACTGACCTCAACAGCAAGACTCTAGCTTATACAGTCCCTTCAGTTTTGTTCAGTGCAATTAGAATATTGCTCTCTGTCCATGTTCTGTAACTTCCCTTTCCCTTGATAATACATTAGGAAAAAGAGCTTAATACCTCCTCATAATAAGTCTCCATGGCGATCCTCATTTCTTCCAAATTAGTCATCTTTATATCTGTCTGAAGTTTACTGAAAATTCAAACAAAAAGTTAGCACAGAGATCCTGGTATTGCAAAGATGAGCCCAATATGCTCATGGTTTCACTGATACCAGGACATGGCACAAACATTTATAGAAGTCATATCATCTTAAAAGAACAGAACTGGGAAGACAAGAACTGAGTTTGGTTTTCAGTTTTGTCACAGTTTAGCTTTGTGACAAAAGCTTCCTTCTCTGTGACTGGAAATTGGGATGATGGGAGGATATTGTGTTTTGCTAAGTAGTAAGAGTAAGTAAACCTATAATTATGCTGAGTATTAAGAGTAAATAAACCATCCAATCATTTTGTAGAGCAATTTGAAACAATGCCCAAAGGGCTATAAAACTGTGCATAACCTTTGACCCAGCAATACCACTATTAGATATTAGGTATGTACCCCAAAAAGATTTTTTTAAAAAAAGAGAAAAGGACCTATTTGTACAAAAATACTCATAGTAGCTCTATTAGTGGTGGCAAAGAATTGGAAATTGAGGGGATGTCCATTAATTGGGGAATGGCTATACAAGATATGGTATGGAACACTACTGTGGGATAAAGAAATGACACACAGGATGTTTTCCAAAAAACCTAAGAAGACTTACATGAATGGATGCACAGTGAAGTGAGCAGAACCAGGAGAACATTGCACACAGTAACAGTGATATTGTATAATGAACAACTGTGAATGACTTAGTTGTTCTCAGTGATACAATGATTTAATATAGTTCCAAAGGACTCATGATGAAAAATGCTATCCACCTCCAGAGAAAGAACTGATGGAGTGTGAATGCAGATTGAAGCATACTATTTTTCACTTTCTTTATTTGTGTACGTATCTGTCTGTGTTTTCTTTCACAACTTGACTAATATGGAACTATGTTTTGCATGATTGAACATGTATAACCTATACTGAAATGCTTGCTGTCTCACAGAGGGAGGAGGAGGAGGGAGGGAGAGAATTTGGAACTCAAAATCTTAAAAAATGAATGTTAAAAATTGTTTTTACATACAATTTTGAAAAAAAACAAAGTATTATTTTTTTTAAAAAAGAGCTGAGTAAGCCTTTGAAAATGTTGGTATCCCTAAGACACTTATAGCACTTTTGAAGGCAAATATCAGTGTGTGGGAAAAAGAGAACTTTGACCTTCAAAGTATGGGAAAAATGAAAACTACTACTAGGCTTATACCCCAGAGATATAAAAGGAGGAAGAGAATAACCTCTAAGCACAAAAATATTTATGATAACTTTTTGTGGTAGCAAAGAATTGTAAACAAAGTAAGTGACCAACAATTGAGGAATGGTTGAACAAATTTTGATATGTGAACAGAATGTAATATTATTACACATTAATATATAACAAAAAGGATGGTTCTCTAAGAAACATGGAAAGACTGAACTGATGCAGAGTAAAGTGAGCAGAACCAGGAGAACAAATTATACTATACTAACAACATTGTAAAAATGAACAATTTTGAAAGACATAAGGACCTTGGATGAACACAACAATCAACCATTATTCCAGAGGTCAGATGATGAAGTCTGCTGCCTACCTCTTAACAGAGAGGTGATGGGCTACATACACAAAATGAGACACATTTATGGACATGGTCAATATGGGAATTTGTTTTGCTTAACTATATGAATGTGTTACAAGGGCTTTGTTTTTCTGCCTACTTTTCTTTTTAATTCCTTAATCTTAAAAATTCTTACGGAAACTACATTTTAAAATTAACAAGCATTAATTTTCTCTCCTTCCCACCCATGCCCTGCCCTCTCCAAAAAAAAAAGACACAGTTCAAAGAGTCGCAAAGCTGCTCCCAGCCTGAGCTCACTTACAAAGCTAGCAAGATGGAACCACCCAGTGGGGGGGGGGGGTGAGGGAGGGTGGCCATTCTTTTTCAACCAATGGCCAGGTTCCCCTTCTAATTCAATCAAAGATTTTTCCCATTTTGTTTCTTTTCTTTTCTTTTCTTTTTAGGCATGTGGGGTTAAGTGACTCTCCCAGGGTCACACGGCTAGTAAGTGTCAAGTGTTTCATCTGAGGCCGGATTTGAACTCAGGTCCTCCTGACTTCAGGGCCAGTGCTCTAACCACTGCGCAACCTAGCTGCCCCCTTTATCCCATTTTGTAAAGAGATATTCAACTCATTATCTGCCTCTTTTTTTCTGGGATTTTATCTTGGGTTGGGAATTGGTCAGGGACCAACTTCCACCATTTATAAAATCTTTCACTTGACTCTGCCATCTTCTCAAGCTACGATCTTAAGAGCTCATCTCCCTTTCAATGCCAAATTAGAAAAGGCTGTCTATTCAATCCCTCTACTAGGTACCTCAAGTAGAACAAAGGCACTGGGAAAGGTCGCATATACATCACAATATTTATAAGCAGCACTTTTAGCACAAAAACCCCCAAAACAAACAAAACTGGAAACATAGCAGGTAGATGCTCCACAATTAGGGAATGACTATACAAATCATACTGCAGCATTAAGAGAGAGTGCAACAGGAAACAATGTACCAATATGAGCATAATGGATTATTAGTGTGCCACAAGAAACTGAATATGAAGAATTCAGAGAAACATGAAAAGACCTGTCCTAGGAGAAGAATATACAACAATGATTTTAATAATAAAAACGAACAAATTTGATTAATTGTGATGACTTATCTTCAGGCTTGGAAAACTAATTATGAAACATACCTCCCTCCTCTCAGAAGAATGGCAGAGGTTACAGAATGTAGTATACCTATCAGACTCAGTGGGTTTATTGGTTTTGTTTAAGTATTTTTCTTTTCTACAGGGGAGAGTTTTATATGGGGTGAGGGTGGTAACAGGGCAGGATACGGTATAAAAACAAAAGGAAATGCTAAAACTTTTTTTTAACCTGCCTATTCTTTTTGCCTTCATTTCTTTGTTTCCCACTCATTTCTCAGTTCTGCAAGATGGCTTCCACCACTACTATTGCACTGAAAGTGTTCTCTTCAATATTATAAATGATCAATCTCTAAACTACTAAACCTAATGGCTTTTTCTCAGTCATCCTTTTCGACCCTGCTATAGCTTTTAACCTGGGTTGATCAAACCCTCTTCCTACATATTCTCTTTTCTTTCAGATTTTGTGAAAATGCTTTTTCTTGGTTCTCCTACTTGTTTAACCACTCTGTCAGTCTTCTTTGCTGGCTCAATATTCATGTTCTGCCACTTAACCCTGATAATGTTCTGTCTTGGTCTCCTTTCTCCCTACATCCTCTCTCAATGATCTCTACAGCTCTCACAGATTCAATAATCGTTCTAGATATCTAGTGCTAATCTCTCTCCCGAGTTTTTCAGCCCTATATTGTCAACTGCCTGTTGGACCTCTCCACCTGAATGTCCTATAGACATCTCAAACTCAACATGGAACTTATCCAAAAGGAAACTCATTACTTTCCCTCAAAAGCCATCCCTTCTCTAAACTTCCCTATTTCTATTAAGGGTACTACCACATCCTTCCAGCTACCCAGGTTTGCAATGTTGGAGTCATCCTCTATTATTCCCTCACTCCCTATATTCAATCACTTATCAAGTCTTGTTAATTCTATACCCACATCATCTATTTTGGGTTCATACTTATATGTGTACATGTTGTTTCTCCCAATAGAATATAAGCTCCATAAGGGCAGTGATTAATGTCTGTCTTTACATCCTTCTCACCTAGTATAGTGCCTGTCACCTTGCACTTAACAAATACTTGACTGATCTACTGCATCTGTCTCCAAACTCTACTCATAAGGTCACCACCCTAGTCCAGTCTCTCATAACCTCTTACTTGAAATATTACTATTACATCTTAACTGGCCTCCAAAATTCCACTATCTCCCCTCTCCAATTCAGCTTCTACACAGATGCCAAAATAATCTGACCATGTCACTCCCTCGCACAAGAATTTTCCCTTCCTTCCTTTATTTTAGACTACAGTGCCCAAAGGTACAGCAATTATGAAACACATAAACCATACAAGGTTGACCCAAGTGTCAGGGGTACATGATGAACTGTTATTCTGGCAACAGCTTCCAAGTGACTCGAAACTGATCCAGTTAATAAGGAAGACAAAAGTGGAATGTAAAGATAGAGTAGTAGAAGATATAATAACTGGCCCTGTAGGTGCCTGAGCAATTCACTCAAATATAGGCCATGCCAAAACCAAAACAGTGGTTGTCGAACAAGACCAGATGGAGTTTACCAATAAAGTCCAAACTAAGCATGTTATCTGTCAGACCACTGTTTGGTATCACTCTTCCCTGCAAATCTGGTAGACCCAAGTCCACTGTTCAAGGATGCTGACCTGGAGATTGGTACTTAAATTTTGAACCCAAAAGGGCTGGACAGTATTTTACTACAATTGTGGAATATATATAATGCCTCCACTCAAGAGTAGAATCCAACACTGGAAGAAGTAATCTACCAGGTCCACACTGGGAAATCAAGGTGAGGCCAGGGCCTGGGTTTCTTAAGGCTCCTGGGAATTCAGCCCCTGCCTCAGCAATCATTCTCAGGTCCATTCTGCCTAGACACATAAAGACACCTGTGTAGCAATGACAGTGACAAATAGAGTTTCTCAGAATGCTAGACAATGGATCCCAGGTAACAATTACATGCTAGGTGTTTTATGAAGAAAATCTGACGTGTGTACCTCTACAGACTCTAGGGTCTGAGTGAGAAGGGCTACTCATATCAGGGTTATATCATAATATATTTGGAGTTTCCCAGAAATGTCATGAGTACCACTGAGAAGGTGGGCATCATGATCCTGGTATGTCTAGACACAGATAATATTTCTAGGGCTTTTGTATTGATTGGAATTAATTCCAGACTGTTCAGAGTCTGGAATTAAAGTACCTCAGGCAGTAAGTTAGGTAGGAATTAGTACCTGAACACTCTAACCATTCACAATTAACATGAGAAGTTTACAATCAACCAATCAATGAGCATTTTTTAAGCACCTCCTGTGTATGATGAAGCACTAAGCTAAGCGCTGATACAAAGATAAAAATGATACAGCTGATGCCCTCATAGAGCTTACAGGCTCTAAGGGAGGAGATATGTTGTCCAAAAAAAACCAAACCCCAAAACATTAATACCATAATCTGTGTTTTAGGTACAATTGCCAGAAACAATTTTTATTCCATTCACCATTAATCTAACATTTAAGAATTTCTGGGCTAGAGAGAGCTGTCCAATCCGGCACAATCCTCTCCCCTGACCCCATAGCCTCACACACGACTCTCTCCCTATGAGTATGAGCTTAACAATATGGGAATCTTAAACAAGAAAAAGGTTATAATATGTTAAAATGCAGTTTGGGGTTAACATTCCTGAATAGTTACCACTCAGTTGCTTCTTTGAGGGAAGAGAATAAAGAGAAATAAGTAATAGTATAATGCTCAAATTCACTATCAGAAGTTCTGAATGGGGATAAAGTCCTTCTGTGAAATCTTGCTATCCCAGGAAAACACAAGATAACAGATCCAGTGGAAAGTTTGTTGTTGTTCAGTCATTTCAGTTGTGTCCAACTCTTTGTGACCCCATTTGGGGTTTTCCTGGCAAAGACACTGGAGTGGTTTGCCATTTCCTTCTCATTAGAGCTCATTTTACAGATGAGGAAACTGAAGCCAATAGAGTTAAGTGACTTGCCCAGGGTCACACAGCTAGTAAGTGTCTGAGGCCAGATTTAAACTCAGTTTTTTCTGACTCCAGGCCTAGTGTTCTATCCCCTGTGCTACCTAGTTGGAGTGGAAAGTTATTCTATATTCTGTTCAAGATATTAGGTATTCTGTTCTATAAAATTGACCCAGTAAATGACTAAATCCCTACCAAGGCAAGGTATCACAGATTAGATACCCATAAGGGAGTTAGTCAGGCTGGTGAAAAGAACAGAAGTAAGGGAGAGTTTGGAAATTAGGTCCCAGGAAGGTCCATTCATAGACAGAGAAAAGCCTATATAAGGAAGATTCAGGTCAAAATCCAAATGAATTGGGGAGTAACTTTGGGCATTGAGGAAAAATGCCAGAGCTTTTTTAATGTGGCGAAGATTTTTAAAACCTGGCCATGGAGTGGATTACATCTGGCTACTCTTTTTCTGTACAGTACTCCAGCTTTGGCAGCTCTAAGGCAACAGAAACCAACAACAGGGTTTAACCATTAGGGGCAGGGATAGTCTCATTAGTCTCAGATCACCCACAGGCTAGAATTGGGATTTCAAGTCAGCCGCCCAAAGACTTCCGTGGCCCAACAGAGGATAGGGAGACTGAATGTTCAGAAGTGATAGTAAGTCAGCACAGGTGTCCATATGATTTGCTCAGTAATCAGGCTTACAATGTTCTGGACACGATGAACAAGGATGTCACCCATGCAGTTCACTGGCATTTGCTGGTACAGGGCAGTATACTGGATCACGTAGAGGATGGCACACAGAAAAAATACTGTCCAGCCCTTTTGGGTTCACAATTTAAGTACCAATCTCCAGTCTATCATAAGTAACTACTATGTGTAACTCAAGGACTGTGTATGAGATATCTCATGATCTATATATCTCATTAATTACATGTAACTCTACTGTGTATGACCCACAGAGTATATACCTGTAAATGGGACAGGTATCAGGTATAATGAGAAAGGATTACACATTTTCAAGCAGCTAAGTAGCACAGTATATTGAGCGCTGGGCCTGGAGTCAGAAAGACATGAGCTCCTCAGACACTCCTCTTGTGTGACCCTAGGCAAGTCCCTTAACTTGTTTGTCTCAGTTTCTTCAACTGTAAAATGGGGATAATAACTGCATCTACCTGGCAGGACTGTTGTGAAGATCAAATGAGATATCTGTAAAGCACTTAGTGCCTGGTACATAGTAGGCACTATATAAATATTTATTCCCTTCCCTCCCTTTCCTTCAACTGAAAAATTCAATGTAGTAGATACCACAAGGAGTAGGTGGTACCCCATTTACCCTTGTGTGAAGGGGACTCTCAGGGTATTTGCACAAGAGGGGCTACTTCTAAAAAGAACCATGAGAACTAAGGAGGAGAATGACACACAGGGACACCATGCTACATGCTGTGGTGAAGGTCAGTGCATCCACATAGTACCCAGAGAGAAGGAAATCATATGCTTGTGTTTTGTTTTGTTGGGGTTTTTTGGTCAAATTAAATAAAAGCCTTTTCCATTTTTAATGTCTTGTTAGCTTAAATGCTTGCAGGGTAGCTTAGAGTCCTGTTAGAAGGTCAAAAAGAGGCCAGATATTGAAATCTTCATGGTTTTCCTGGGTAGGATCACAAGCTAGAGAGATTTCTGAAATAAGTCATAATATTGAAGTTCCCTAGGTTTTCCTTGGTGAGACAGGAGGCAGGAAATACTTTTTGAAAAGTACCTTCTCCCAAATTGTTCTCCCAAATTCATAAGTATCCAACCTTTTTGGTTAGGAAGTGGGGTGAAGAAAAAGATAGGACTGGGAACAGGGTCAGAGAGATTCTTAGGGTGGAAACTCAAGCTGGAGTCTGAGAAAACTTGATGAAAGATAATTTCAGTAATAATGTAAGCTAAATGTAGCCCTTTCTAATGGTATAAATGATTCTCAAAATTCCTCCCAGCCCACACAAGAGCCCAATGCAAAAGTCTCCATACATGATAGTATTGTCCTTTTCCTTGCATTGCTGTTCCAACTTGATAATCCTCTGTTTTAATCCATTAATGACCTGCCAAAAGAATATAAACACATCAAGCCCAGATGTTTCTGATATCCCTGTTACATCAGTCTCCTCCTGAAATTTGGTCTTTTTCATTCTTTCTTTATAGTGTTACATTTCAACAAAGATAATACACATAGCCACCAGCACACCAATATAGGAATGAAATCCTAAACATGTTTATCATTATTACTAAGACAATACATAGGAACAGGATAATTGATTAAAAAAATTTAAGGCAACTACAGCTCTGTGGAGATTATTTATTAGACAATCCTGTCCATAGCTGCCAAATAAAAGGAACAACTCTTTATGATTTCTCTATTCACCATTTTCAGAGTTGGAAGGGAAGACATAACAAATATTAGTTTACCTGAAAAGTATTTCATGAAAAGGTGCTGGGTAAAGTCCAGTTTCTTAAATATTTTAAAAGTAAGCATTACTGATGCCTCTGATTTTTAAATCACAATCATTCCTGCATACACTCATCACCACCACCACCAAATAAGCCCTTCTTTTGTTACAAAAAAAAAAACAGCCAAAGAAAACCAACAGACACAATATCTGTGTCCGACAGCATATGTAACACTACACTCCAATAGAACCCCACCTCTCTCCTCACGTGTCTTAAATACTAAAAACACAACTTGCAACTATACGTATGCCAGGTGCTGTGTTATTAGTTTCAATTTTGGAAATAGCAACTTCTTTTTCCTTAAACAATATCCTTTCAAAAGCCTGTCAATCATAGCAGGAGGGCACTGACTAGTCTGTCTTAGTAAGTACCTCAGAGAAATCCACTTTACCACAAACTGTAAAGAATAGATATCTACAGAAAGACTATGGAAGGAATGTCTCCTTATGACACCTTTCCAACTAGGAGTCTTTGCTCAGGGTTCTGATTGTAGGTCAGATATTTAAGTATCATTGTCAAGCCTAAAACCCTTCTCCTGTGACAAGAATTAAGGCCTACAACAATTTCAAAGTACTCCAGCATAATGGTTCTCAAAATCATGTAGGAGAAGTGGGAAACATCATTTCCAAGGTTAAGAGTGCTACCTCCTGAATTTACCACAAGTTTTCCTGGAGCTTCTGACCATTCTATAGCTAACTCCTAGGTAGTGGTTGAGGAACGATGAGCTCACAGCCCAGAAGGAAACAGCAGGGGCTGTTCTTTTACCCCTAGGGTCCAGAACCCATGGTACTGTGAAATTAATTCTCTCCATATATTATTGAAAGAAAAAGTCTTCATTGAGCAAAGACTGTTCATATACATTTCGAATGAGTACTTTGGTGCTCTTCCTCTGCATCTATCATTGTAATCTCTTAAAGGAAGGAATAGCTCTCATCTGAATTGGCATTTTAATAAGGTTTTAATAGAAAAGTTATTTGCCTTCCTGGAGATCACACTTACCCAGCCAGTACCAGGCCTTTTGTCAACCATACTCCGGGCAAATTCACAGCCCTGTAGCAAAAAAATAATATTTTTAAAAAATAGTCTGTGCAATTCATATTTTATTGATTTTTAAAATTTCACCTAATCTGAGGAATATAAATTTATAGTTCCCTCAGTCTTAGGGGTTTATATATCAATAAAGAATTGAACCATGAGTTCAGTGAATGAGCCAAGTTACTGTTGCTCCGACATACAGTATTGGCACATACAATATAGTATTGGTAGATGCACAGGGGTGTACATGAACCAGCCTGGGCATTTATAACCCATGTTTTCATACTACTAGCCCTACAGGATAGGAACTACCTACTGACCCCTTGTACTTGGTTATAACTATAGATTACCCCATTTCCATTGCAGATTCAACCTAGCTCCTTAATTGCTCTAATTCTGTGCATTACCCTCTAGCCCTGATCCACAGCTGATTTCACTGGATATACCATTCAGCTTACTTACATGATTATGGACTCTGGGCACTTCTCCCAATCAAGAGTGCCATTCTATCTGCTTTCCCCATAACCATCTCCCTTCCCCTGATTCTAGGATAACAATGGAGAAAGCCAAGCCACTAAGGACTGTTGGCAGACCATTTCCAAGGATCATAGATTTCGATCTGAACTGGCCAAAGTGGTGGCTCCAAAAGAAAGAGCCAATGCTTTCTAGATGCAAATGGATGAAATAAAATTGGAAAACTGCAGTTTGCAAAGTAAGATGGCAGTATTAAAAGGGAAACACTGAAGGCGTCCCTAGTACCTGCCCAGCTGAGTAAGCTCCTGGGGAAATCCAAAAGGCAGGCTTGTAGGTGAAGCCACAGGACTTTCCCACCAACCAAATGAAAGTTTGATTCCCATCCTGTGATTATTGGTCATGCTGCCTGGCATTCTTGATGGGACACAGTGACTGACTAAAGAGGTTCAATGGTGGTATGACAAAGAGCCCACAGAACTTCCCACCGTGGCCTAAGGTTGCAAACCAATAGATCTAACAGCCCTGACAAGGATGACATTTGGTGGGAACACTCTTCAGGCTATAAACCAACATCTCAAATAGAATAGAGCTGCCTGGACAAAGCAATCTAAGATGTCCTTGTGGACGCCCAGGATATTTGGCCACCTCACTCCAGAGCCCTTCTAGCATCCAGAGAGGAATCTATCCCTGATGGTCTCCATATATTCACTTCTGTCAGCATGTTCCCTCTGGCTCTGCCACAATGGGCTAACTAAACAGAGAGATATGGAAGACCTTTCATCTGGCTACCCAGGCCTTTTGGTGGTCAAACCTCAATTCAACTGACAAATCCCACAATGGGGTCCAAATGAAGCTACTTCTTATACCTCCCCAATTGTGATTGACAGTGTCCCTGGATTTCATCATGGATTTGCCCCTGTCCCAAGACCAGGTCTTCACTATGGTGGCAGTAGACATCCTACAAGGAGCACTGGGTAATGGATAAGAGTGTTGGATTCAAGTCCAGGAAAACTTGGGCTCAAATACTGCCTCAGACACTAAGTAACTGTGTAACCTCAGACAAGTCACATGTCCTCAGATTCCATATCTGTAAAATGAAGGGGCTGGAATCAGTAGCCTTTAAGATCCCTTCCAGTTCCAAATCTATGATCTTTTGTCATGATTATCAAACTGGCCCACTTTTCCCACTATGCTGGATCTCCACTGCAACAAAGACCTACCTAGTCTTTTAGGAAATCTTTTACTTAGATCATCTTCCCATATACAACAGGCCATGAATTTCAAGTTAGAAGATGGGCTATTGTGAAGGACACCATAGTTTTAAGTGGCAGGTTCTATAGCTTTTCCATTGACTCTCCCCAAATGAATGCAGATGTCATTCCAAAAATTTCAGGAGGACAGGGCATTCATCTGCTTGCTCAACAGTTCCCTTGGTATGGGTATGTGGCTTGGCTGTGTGGCCAACTCCAACATCTGGCAGAATGGGCAGGCTATAGATCAGAGGACTGCAAACAGAAATCTGCCCAGAACATCCCTCCAAGTGAATGTGTTGAGGCCTTTCAGTGACAGTAGTCACATAAATCCTAACCTAACCTAATCCTTACCTACGGATCTGAATACTCTCCAGTTTTGATATGTGTGCTTAATGACTCTGAATGCTCCTTACCGAGGGAATTACAACAATAAGGACTATACAACTTACTCGATTAGGATCCAGGAGGTGTTCAATCTGCCGATCTTTTCTGCTGTTCTCTTCTTCTAATCGTCGAAGCTTTGTTTTCATAAAATCCACATCACCTTTTTGAGAGTGTAATGACTAAAAGGAAAAAAAAACCTACAGATTTGGCTTTGTTTTTGTTTTAAATATACCCCACAGTCAAATACAAAGATATATTGTTTTTAATCCTTATCCACAGTCCTACGTTTGAGCTAGATAGTTCAATCACTTAGTGCTCAGGAAGTCAAATTTGGATTTGATCCAATTAAGTAAACATTTACTAAGTGCCCAGTATGAGGTAGGCACTGGCAAGATGAAGACAAAAATGAAAATCACTATCCTCAAGGAACTTACATTCTATTGGGAGAAATAATATATATACATATAAACACACACACATTTTATACATACACTCACAAGAAATATATAAAATAAATTTAAATAAGATAATTTGGTGTTAGTAGTTGGGAGAATAAGGAAAGGCCTCATAGTAGCATACAAATTGTTCGTGAAGGCAGAATAAGAGGAGTACAATCTCAGCACAGGGAGCCAGCTTGAGCAAAAGCAAAGAAACAGGAGATGGAATGTCCTGTGTGAGAAGGTGGAAGATGGACAATTTGGTTGGACTGCAGAATCTGTGAAGTGAATTCTTGCAGGATAAGCCTGATAGAGAATTTAGATCTAGGTAGGGGAGTGCTGGTAAATGTTTAACAACCAGCTCTCTGAAAAAATGTATGCAAGACACACTTTTAAATTTAATCTGTATTATTAAAACATTTTCTCTATCGCTTTCTTAAATTTAGACAATCGATAATAACAACAACAAACAATCCCTAATTTGTATCATTTGCCAATTTCTGAGATGTAAATACATTGAAAATTTGACCATCAGCTCTCATGAACCAGTATAAACTAGCTCCAGTATACCTCTGGATCCAGGTTGTAAAGGACTTTAAATGTCAAAAAGAAGAGTCTGCATTTGCTCCTGCAAGGAATAAGGAACCCCTGGTGTTTCCTGATCAGCAGAGTAACACAATCAGACCTATCCTTCAGGTATATCACTTTGGCAGAGGTATCAAGAATGAATTGGAAAGGGGAGAGACTTGAGGCAGAGAGATCAATCAGGAGGTTATTAAATAGTATAGATTAGAGACAATGAGGGTGTGAACTAGAATTAACTTTTCTGTACCACAGTTTCCTTATTTGTAAAATGAGGGTGTTGGACTAGGTAATCTCTAATCTCCCTTTCAGCTTTTAACCTATGATTCTACTTGTTCAAGGTAGAGGTAATAAATTCAGACTACTTTATATAGGCATTTGGCAGTAAAAAAGAGAATTATGGGGCAACAGCTTGAGGGCATGGCAGGGTCAAGTGAAGGATGAGGAGATATAGACTTGTTTGCAGGTATCAGGGAAGAATTAGTGCATAAAGAATGACTGAAAAGTAAAAAAGAGAAAAGGAATGATTGAAGGAGCAAGTGCCTAAAGGTGGGAAGGGAGAGGATAAAAGAGACAAGTAGGGTTAGTATTGGCAAGAAGGACTACTACTACTCTTCCTCTGAGACTAAACTGAGAATATAAAAATATGTATTCAATTGTTTCAGTTGTGTCCAACTCTTCATGACCCCATTTGGGTTTTTCTTATCAAAGGTACTAGAGTGGTTTGCCATTTTCTTCTCCAGTTCATTTTACAGATGAGGCAAACAGGGTTAAGTGACTCTCCCAGGGTCGCACAGCTAGTAGTGTCTGAGGTTAGATTTGAACTCAGGTCTCCTGACTTCAGGCCTGGCTCTATCCATTGTGCCACCTAGGGGCCCTTGTACCACCTAGCTGCCCTGAACTCAGGAAGATGAGTCTTCCTGACTCCAGACCTGGCATTCAATACAATGTACCACCTACCTGCCCCGAACAGATGGGATTTTAATGTTAGTGTTCAGTCATGTCTGACTCCTTTTGACCCTATTTGAGGTTTTCTTGGCAAAGATACTGGAGTGATTTACCATTTCCTTCTCCAACTCATTTTACAGATGAGGAAACCGAGATAAACAGGGTTAAATGACTTGTCCAGGATCACACAAAATTAGTAAGTGTCTGAAGCTGTATTTGAACTTAAGAAGATGAGTCTTCCTGATTTTGACTTGCACTTTATCCATTGTACCACCTAGCTGCCCTATAAGAATATATTTATCAATAATATGTTAAATGTTAATTAAATTATATATCAAATAAATTTCTCAATAATAAATCTCAGTGAATACACACTTTAGTTCCTGGGTCAGTGTACACTTTGTATTATAAATCAATCAACAAGCACTTATTAAGCATTACTCTGTGCCAGGCACTGTGCTATGTGCTGGAGACACAAAGACAAAGCAAAAAACAGTCTTTTCCCGGTAGATTAGAATGTGGATTCCATTCTAATGGGAGAGTACGTAAAGGTAACCTCAAACAGGAAAACACTAGCAACTGGGCGAAATGAAAAGCCCCATGCAGAAGATGGTACATTACTACACCAGGTTAAAATACAGGATGTGAAATGGAATCCCTGGTTACTGAAGAATTTACAGTGATTCCTGCCTAATAGGAGCTAAAGTCTTGAATTAAGTCAGAGTTTCTAAGAGGCTGAAGGGAGGTGGAAGAGCATTTGAGGTACAGGGAGGTAGCCAGTGTAAAGGCACTTAGACTGACTATGGAATGTCATGTGTGAGGAACAGCAAGTAGAACAGTGTGGCCAGACTGTAGAATGCATGGAGGGGAGTAACGCAGAAGAAGGGGCTAACTGGGTAAGAGCTTTAAATGGAAAATGAATTTACATTTGATCTTTGAGTTAATAGGGAGCCCTGTTAAGCATTAATTTTTTTATCCATTGTCAGAAACTTTCACTGTTTAAAAAGAGTACAGAACAAAAAGAAATATTACCTTCTTCAATTCAATAATCTCATCATACATATCTTCCTTCTCTCTATAAACAGGGGCCCCAGGACTATGACCTACAGAAAGACACAAAGCAAATCGCTTATAAGATTATTTGTAAGGGAACAACAATCCTTAGCTTTACTATAACCAGGATTTCAAAGATCACAATGCTTCAGCGACAGAAGAGAAAAAGTTATTTTTTCTCATTTAATACTAAGCATTTCATAGGATTTTATAAACAATTTATATTGTAACAGATAACCAATTACAGAAATTTTCCAGAGACAGAAAAGAAAAAGTGAAATTCAAGAAAAAAAGGATATGAGAACATAATTTATAGTCAAGGTAGAATAAAAGGAAAACTGGATTAGGAGTGAAACATTTAGACTTTGTTTAACCATTTAAGTTTAAACCGTTCAGATTTAAGGCTCCCAAGACAAAGACTGTGAATCCTTATTTCTTTGTTGTTTAGTCATTTCAGTCGTGTTCAACCCTTCATAACCCCATTTGGGGTTTTCTTGGCAAAGATACTGGAGTGATTTGCCACTTCCTTCTCCAGCTCATTTTACAAATGAGGAAACTGAGGTTTTACACACAGCTACTAAGTGTCTGAGACCAGATTTGAAATTGGGAAGATGAGTCTTCCTAACTTCAGACCTGGCACTCTATTCACTGTGCCACCTAATTGCCCAAATTCTTATTTCTAAAGGATAATTAACATGCTGATGTTTAATAAATATTAAAGCTTAAAATATAATGACCAACAACCAAAAAGAGTAAGCAACTCATGTACGGGACAGAATATAAAGGAAGTATAATTTAAATAAAGTTTTCAAACTGAAGTGATTATCCTGTAGGGATTAAAAGAAAAAAAAGTAAAATAGTTAAAAGTTTTGGGAAGCATGCAAATGCAAGCTCAGTAAAGATTTCACTGACAATATTAAAAGTCTTTTCCCATTAAATTTAAAAAGACTGTATAGTTAGTTTAGCTTCTACTGTGAAGGAATCGCTCTAATTCTTAAATTTCATATCTTACCTCTTAACCTACTGTAGAATAATCTGGATACCTGAAGTAAAAAATCTCAGTGTCACAGTTGTAAGGACCCTGAGAGCCCATCTAGTCCAACCTGTACCTGAGAAAGGATGCCTTCTACAACATTCCCAACAAGTAATGTCATCTAATCTTTGCTAGAAGACTTCCAGTGAAGGAGAATCCACTACCTTCTGGTGGCAGCCCATTCTATTATTATATACTATTAACTGCTATAAAGTTATTCCTTGTGTCAAAACTAAATTGCCCTCTTACAACTTCCACCCACTGCTCCTAGTCCTGCTCTCTGGGGCCAAAAAGAATACGTCTAATCTCTTTTCTACATGTCATCCCTTCAACTACCTGAAGACATCTATCATATATGCATGTAGGTGGGTGGTACAATGGATAGATAACTGCGCCTAGAGTCAGGAAGACTTGAGTTCAAATCTGACCTCCAAAACTTTCTACTTATGTGACCTTGGACAAGTTACTTAACCTACATTTGCTTCAATTTTTTCAACTGTAAAATGAGGATAATAATAGTACCTACCTCCCAGGGTTGTTGTGAGGATCAAATATTATCTCATTTCTTTCAAACGAGAATATTTGTAAAGCACTTATGACAGCACTTGGCACATAGTATATGCTTAATAAATGGTTATTTCCTTCCTTCCTTAGTCTTGTCTTCTAAGGCTAACCATCTCAGCTTCTTCAACTGAATTTCATCTGGCATGATCACCTCACCATCTTGAATGCTTCTTTCTGGATGCTCTCTACCTTGTTACTACAGTGCCCAGTACTGAGCACCACACTGCATATGCAGTCTCTTCATAGGACAGCAGGATTATCATCTTCCATGTCATAGATACTGAGCCTTTAAATGCAACCTAAAACCTCATTAGCATTTTTTAACTTCTATGTTGAACCACATGTGAACTCATCTTGAGTTTTTATTCTAGTAAAACCTACAAATCATTTTCACAAGAACTCTTGTCTAGCCATGCCTTCCCAATCCTGTACTTTTGAAATTTATTTTTTCAAACTAAACAATAGGATTTTTCATTTACTTTGTTAGATAAACATTCCATCTTATTAGATTCAGCCTATGATTCCCACTTGTTGACATATTTTTTCATCCTTACTCTCAACCAACATGTCTAACCAATGTGTCATCTGTAAATTTGATAAGTGTGCCTTCATCCAATTTAGTGGTAAAAATCTTGAACAGAAATAGAGCTGAGGACAGAGATCTCTGTCTACTAGAGGCTTCCCTCCTCCTGGACTTTAAGTCATGAATGGATACTTTTTGGGTTTCATCATTTCACCAGCTCTCAATCTGTGTGACTGAAATCTTCTACTCCATATCACTCCGCCTATTCCAGAAGCAAGCATACAAAACATGCTGCCGTAGTGATTAGAATGCTCAATTTGGACTCATAGAATTTGGGGTCAAATCTTTGCTCTGGCATCTGCTAGCTATGTAACTACAGGAAAGTTACAATCTCTGAGTCTTAGTTTCCTCATGTGTAAAATGGGGATAATAATGCTTTTAGTATATATCTTACAGTTATTGTTAGGATCAAATTAAATAGTGTATATAAAGTACTTTGCCAAATTCAAAGTGCTATATAAAATCAGCTATTATTATTGTTCTTGTAATTATTTTACAGAATTCCCTACCAGTCCAGTAACCCTGTCAAAAAAGAAAACGCGGTTAGTTTGGCATGACCTTTGCTCAAGACCATGCTAGCTCTTCGTGATCACTGCTTCCTTTTGTAGATGTTTACAAACCATTCATTTAATAATGCATTCTAGAATTTGCAAGAAATTGTAGTCACTCACAATTCTATGTTCTGTAGACTCTATTTTTTTCACTTTTTTGAAAGTTACTTCTTTCAGTATCCTAGGAGGTGGTTTTGTGTGGACTTGGTTAATTTGAACTCATCAAGGACCATTACCTTTTCACTTATCCTGTGTTTCAACTCCCTATTTTAAAAAAATACACACACGCACACAGTGTGTATATACACATATATGTATATGTATGTACATACGTAAGTATGTATAAGGGCAGCTAGGTGGCATAGTGCACAGAGTGCTGGGCCTGGAGTCAGGAAGACTCCTCTTCCTGAGTTCAAATCCAACCTCAGATACTTACTAGCTGTGTGACCCTGGGCAAATCACTTAACCCCATTTGCCTCAGTTTCTCATCTGTAAAACTAGCTGGAGAAAGAAATGGCAAACCACTCCAGTATCTTTGCCAAGGAAACTTCAAATGGATTCACAATGAATCAGAAATGACTGAAAATGACTGAACAAATTAGATATTTTTATCTTTCCAATCCAGAGATCTTATTCCTTGGCAGAGAAAACAAAAGCAAAATAAAAGTTTGAATAATTCTGTCTTCTCTCCATTATGTTATTATTTTCCTATCCACCCAGTACAGTGGTACCATCCCTTCTTTAACCCTCCTTTTCCCCCTCACTCCCCATAAGGGCTAAAAAAAGCCTTTTATGTTGTCCTTAACATTTACTACCAGTCTCTGTTTATTCTGAGTTTTGGCAGTCCTGACATTCTTAAAGAGAGATGTCATGCTTTTGTATCCAACCTTCTTTATCTGACAAAATGTCATCTTGCTCTGGCATCTGCTAGCTATGTAACTACTCAAAAGTTCTATTGTTTTAACTCATGAAAAACGATTTTATCTCCACTGATATGCTCACCATTGCTAAAAAACATTTGTGCTTTTGCGTTTTAATTCCTAATGCTTCCTTCAAATATTCTGGAGTGTCACTAGAGGGGTTAGTCCATACATTCCTAAGTCCCTAGACTGATATCATTAGCTGAGTCAAACTTTCCGAGAAGAAAACAGCATGAATTTAATGTGATGCTATCAGCCCAACACAGCAAGCTTTACCCTATAATAAATGACTGATGTTTCTAGACTAAGGAAAGCTGTGTCAGTACTCTTAAATTCATATTACTCAAAAACAAAATGTACAGTCATCTAGTTTGAGAGAGCATCAAAATCTACAAGTCATGACATAATAGAAATGCTCAATGTTTTAGGAGTGAATAAAAGTCACACTGCATTCTATAATAACAAGCTACATTCTAAGTCATCTTCCAAATTTTCAGAAATTCCCCTGGGAGAATTTCTGAGCAGGGAAGCAATGGGTTGAAGCAGTCATGTACCTTGTTTTGAAGGTCCAAGCCATTGTTTCTGTGGGGTTAAAGCCATCCTGCCACTGAGAGGCATTGTCCCTGCTGCCTTTAAATATCTCCAAGATGAGATCTGTTTAGGCTTGGTATGATAGGGAGACTCTGAAAAAGAAAACAGATGATGTTAGAATGACAAAATACCATTTACACCTCTATAAATTTGCTATGAAACAAAAATTTTGCATAAAACGAAATTTTTATAAGGGCAATACCTCCAGGCAAAATTATTCTGCTCAAAATAGTTATATGCAATTAAAATTATAAATGTGTAAGCCAAGCTGTCTTGGGGAGGAAGGGGAGGAGGGAGGGGGAGAAAATTTAAAACTCAAAAGCTTATAGAAGTAAATGTTGAAAACTAAAAATAAGTTTATAAAAATAAAATTTAAAAAATAAATGAATAAGCCAAGAAAAATTCAGAAAAACAATTTTTCCCTTCAAGAAACAAGAAAAAAAGTTTGAATATCTTCTCTTTATTTTCTATGTGTCAAATTTCTAAATTACCAAGTATCATAATGCAATGATCAGACCAAGCTACACATAATATACTCTATATCCCTAATAAGGTAACTGTAAATATGCCAAACCCAAACCATTTAAAAAGCTGTATTGAAATGTTTATAAAAACCAAATACAAAGGCCCAAAATAATATCTAATCAAATAAAGCTAGATTGATCCAGCTTGAATATTCATAACACCCCCAAATGCTTGCCTTTCAGGGATAATAATGAGAAAATGATTGTGGCTGAAAGACCATTCAGAGAGATGATTCAAAAATGAGAAGGTTTACAAAACATGAATATCTGCATTTTAAACCCACACCCACGCATGTTCTTTTTATTTAATGATATAGCAAACTCAATTTTATTATTCATGTTAATGGAGAATAATGCAAAATAATAGAAAATAAAATTGTCTCCAAAATGTAACATATACTTTCAAGGAGTAGTTTACCTTTCTAATTAAGTTTGGCTTAGGCTAATATGAAAATGAATCTGTATTCGCCAAGTACCCACCAGAAAGAATTCGTCACGATGCAAAGGGAAGTCAATCTATAATTTAAATTGTGTTATAGATAACTCCAAAGTAAATGATTCATAAACAGACGATTGAGAGTTGGTGGTATGCATATTACAGTAACATTAAATGCAAAACAGGACAGACATATACCATACATATCCACAAATATTATTCTAAGATTGATTATAAAAACATCTCTTTTGCTTACACACAAATGGCAGTTCTGGCATAACAAGCACTTCAGTAATGGTATAGAGGCTATGACCAAGGAGGGTAAAGAAACTACTACTAAATTTTAATTAATAATTTATCTGATTAACTATGCTTTAAGGCAATCAATAATATTATTCACAACATATATATATATGAAAAATATGCTGTTCATATATGAAAATAAACTGTAAGTTAGAGAGTTAGGTGTTAAAGAATAGAATATCTAGGGGCAGCTAGGTGGCGCAGTAGATAGAGCACTGGCCTTGGAGTCAGGAGAATCTGAGTTCAAATCCAGCCTCAGACACTTGACACTTACTAGCTGTGTGACCCTAGGCAAATCACTTAACCCTGATTGCCTCACTAAAAAAAAAAAAAATCAAACAATAAAAAATAGGCTATCTATTAAAAGTTACTGAAGCAATTGGAATTGGAAACCTGTAATTCTGAGGATTGATCCACTGGGGGGAGGGGAGGGGGCTGGGGAGAGAGGGAACAGTTGAGGCCTACACAGAGGGTCAAGTATCAATTCACCATACATTTATAAAATCTATACTAAGTGTTAAAACACTCTTCTAGGTGCTGGGGATACAAAGATGAAGAATGACGTTGTCATTACCCCTTAAGGAACTTACCATCTAAAGGAGGGTCAGGGAAGGGAACAGATATATATACAAGTAACTATGATAAAAGGCAAAGTATGATTAAATGAATAGGAGAGGACAGAGTGCCATGATAGATAGAAGCTGGAAGGAAGAAAATTTAGGCTTGAGGTAAGGTAAAAAACCCTAACAATTAGTTATCTAAAAATGGAATGGGCTGCTAGAGCTAGTAGGTTCCTCCACACAGGAAGACTTCAAGCAGGCACTAGATAACCAGTAGTCAGTTATATTGCAGAAAAGATCCTTTTCAGAGATTGTTGGAGTAGGTGGCTCTGAGATCCCTGTCAATTTTGTGATTCTGCAAAATTTAAGGAAGAATATGCTTCTAGCTAAAGGGATCAGTAAAACCCTCTTAGAGATAGGTCCTGAACCAGGCCTTGAAAAGAAAGATTTCAAAGTGTGGAGATGTGGGGTAGGAGTATCTGCTCCAGAAATGGGGAAAAGAATGCATGGAGGTGTGAGGAGGGGGGATGAGAGTACAGACGTGCCAATTGTCCAGTACAGCTGGAGTGTAGAATACTTGAAGGGAAGTATTGTGAAATATAGGTGAAAAAGAAGACTAGAGCTAAATTATAGAAGGTCTTGAAAACCAAGCTGAAATGTTTGCTTTTAACTCATTTGACAGTAGAAAACCACCATCTAAAGTTTTAAAGTGAGAGAAAAGTGACAGAATCTAAACTGTACATTAGGAAGATTACTCAGGCAGCTGTATGAATGACAGAGAGGGGAGAGACTACAGGCAGGCAGAATAGTTAGTTAGGAGGCTACTACTGAAGAGTAGGTAAGAGGTAAGAAAGGCCTTAATCAAGATGGTGGCAGTGAAAATGGAAATGAGGCCTGAATATGAAAGAAAGTTCACAGGTAGAACATAGATGTCTTTGGCAGCTAATTTGATATAAGGGGTGAAGAAGAAGGAACACTCAAGGATTACTACAAGATTTTAAGTAGGTGATTGAGAGAATAGTGGTACCCTCAACCAAAACAGGGAAATTAGGAGCAGAGATGATTATACTGGTGAAACAGCAAAATGGTGACAGTTGGAGACAAGGCAAAATATAAATGCCTGGCATTTAAGGCCCTCTACAATCTGGCTCCCATCTACCTTTCCAGCCTCATTTCATACTACCCTTTATAAACTCTACACTCCCACCAAATTGGACTACTAGTGATTAGCAATACCCGATACTCAATGTTCCACTTTAAATGTACTCCTCTTGATATATGACCCTTAGTATCCTTGTCTTCTTTCAAGACTCAGTGTAGGCTTTTCTAAGAAGCCTGCCCTGATTCCCCATCCACCCACTGAGCTGTTAGTACTATGTTTCTCCTCAATTCTTGAATTTTACTGATTTTTTTTTTTGCATATGCTGTATCTCCCCCCAAGTACAATGAAAGTTCATTGAGACTATTTCATTTTGTCTTTGTATTCCCAGTGCCTACAGACGATGCCTTACAAGTAGTCAATGCCTTAATATTTAGGGAAAAAAAAATTTAATCTGAAAGAGATATAATTAAACTCACCTGATTTTTAAAGAACATGAAAAATAAAACTTAAATAAATACCTAGAAGAAATACTTAAAAGTATACTTCAGTTCTATATTTAGAATAATTACTAGTAGAAATTTAAAAAAGAATGGAAAGGAAAATGAGGAATATTACCTGAGGAAAAAGAGGAAGACAGAAACAAAAGTGGAAAAAGGAGGAGAAAAAAAATGACACAGAGAGGGAAAATATGACATATACAGGAAAGGAGAGAGTAAGACCAGGCCAGTGTGACTACAGAAGGAATGGTAAGAGAGGCAGGTTCAAAAGAGTCCCAAGTTTGAGTAAATTATTCTTTCCACATCCTTCAGTTTATTCACTAGGACTTTAGGATAAAAGAGTGTTTCAACTTCTTAACATTGCCCTTTCAAATCTTAATTAGTTGATGAACTGCTGTTCTCACCTCATTTGATTTTTATCCTTAAAGTTTCAGAGGCTCCTACTCTTAATAGGATAATCCCAGCAGCAAAAAGTGTAGAAAAAGTTTAAATTTTACTAGTAAAGAAAGTGATAAAGGGAACTGAGAGATGGTGGAGAAAAGGCAGGGACTTGCCTGAGCTCTCCAAAATAACTTTAAAATAATGCCTCAAAACAAATTCTAGAGTGGCAGAACCCACAAAAGGAGAGGGTGAAACAATTTTTCAACCCAAGGTAACTTAGAAGGTTGGCAGGAAAGGTCTGTTGCACTGGGGTGAAAGTGGAGCATAGTCCAGCACAGGCAACACCTTGGTGGGCCAGCAGCAGATTTCATCTCTGCAAGCCAACAGCAGGCCTTGGGAGCAACTGAATCAGCAGCAGCAGCTTCTGGGCTTCCATAACTCTCAGCCCAAAGACAGTAAAGGGGTCAGACAATTGGGTAGAAGAGATCACAGGGGTCCCTTTGCTGGCACTGGGTGCAGGACTCTGTTGCATTGCCCATATGCCGTTTCATGTCTCACTCCTAGGTCACTGTACCAGGGCAAAGAGGAGCAGTAACACATCAGAACCAGCAGCTACAAAGGACGGGGGGAACCATGGTCACGGTTCCAGAGCAGAAAAGAATGCTTGTGGTTGCTCACAGACCAGAAGAGTTGTAAACACATCTCTCCATAGATCATACCACCTTGGAAAAACTGAAAACTTACAGATCCCCAGAACTAGTTTTGAAAACAGCTGCACAAAAACCCTGAGGCTTGGGACAATGCCCTTTCCACCCTGGGAGCAGAGTTTAACTTTATCAAAAAGTTAAAAGAAATGGACTGGAAAAATGAGCATGTAACAAAAAAAGAACCTGATCAAAGAAAGTTACTATGGTGACAGAAAAGATCAAAACACAAACTCAGAAGACAACAAAGTCAAAGTCAAAAGTGCTACATCCAAAGGTCCCACCCCACCCCCCAAAGAAAAATGTGAATTGGCCTCAGGCCCAAAAAGAATATCTGGAAGAACTCAAAAAGGATTTTAAAAATAAAATTAGAGGTAGAGGAAAAATTGGGAAAAGAAATGAGAGTGATGCAAGAAAATCATGAAAAAAGAATCAACAGTTTGGAGGAGGCACAAAAAATAATGAAGAAAATAATATCTTCAAAAACAGAACAGGCCAAATGTTAAAAACAGGCACAAAAATCCACTGAAGAGAAGAACTTTTTAAAAAGTAGAATTGGCCAAATGGAAAAGAAAATATAAAAACTCAACGAAGAAAATAATTCTTTAAAAATTAGAATTGGGCAAGTAAAAGCTAATGATTTCATGAGACTTCAAAAAACAATAAAATGAAGTCAAAAGAATGAAAAAAATGTGAAATATCTCATTGAGAAAAACAACTGACCTGAAAAATAGGTCGAGGAAAGATAATTTTTTTTGTAAGCAGTATTTTGTTTTTTCCAGTTACATGCAAAGATAGTTTTCAACATTCATTTTTTATAAGATTTTGAGTTCCCATTTTTCTCCCTTCCTCCCTCCCCAAGATGGCAAACAATCTGTTACAGGTTATGCATGTGCAATCAAGTTAAACATATTTCCACATTAGTCACGTCGTGAAAAAAGAAACAGAACAAAAGGGAAAAAGCACGAGAAAAAAAAAATAAAAAAACGGATTATTACAGCCAAATTCTAAAGCTCCCAGGTCAAGGAGAAAATACTGCAACCAGCCAGTAAGAAACCATTCAAATACTGTAGCGTTACAGTCATGATAATCCAAGATTCAGCATCTTCTACATTCAAAGATTGGAGGGCTTAAACTCTGATATTCCAGAGAGCAAAGGAATTATGATTACAACCAAAAATCTCCTACCCAGCAAAACTGCATATAATCCTTTGGGGGAAAAAATGGGTATGACTTTCAAGCATTCCTGATGAAAAGACCAGAGCTGAAGAGAAAATCTGACTTGTAAATACAAGACTTAAGAAAAGTATAAAAAGGTAAATTGGAAAGAGAAATCATAAGGGATTCAGTAAGGTTAAACTATTTACATTCCTACATGGGAATATGATACTTATGATTCCTAAGAACGTTATCATTATGAGGGAAGTTAGAAGTAGTATACATAGACAGAGGGCATGGGTATGAGTTGAATATGATGGGATAATATCTAAAAAAATTAAATTAAGGGATGAGAAAGAGGAATGCACTGGGAAAAGGAGGAAAGGGGGGTAGAATGGGGTAAATTATCTTACATAAAAGAGGCACAAAAAGGGTTTTTACAGTGAAAGGGAAGAAGGGGGAGTTGAGGGGAGGGGGCAGAGCGCTTGAACTTTGCTCTCATCAGAACTGGCTCAAAGAGGGAATAACACATATACTCAGCTGTGCACAGAAATCAATCTTACCCTACAGCAAAGTAGGAAAGGAAGGGGATTGGGGGGGGAGGTGCTGATAGAAGAAAGAGTGGATTGGGAGGGGTGGTAGTCAGAAGTAAAACACTTTATGGATGAACAGGGTGAATGAAGACAGAGTGGGATAAAGACAGGGAAAAATAGGATGGAGGAAAATATACAGTTAGTAACCACAACTGTGAAAAAAAAATTTATAGCGAGTTCTCCTGATAATGGCCTCATTTCTTAAATATACATAGAACTGAATCAAATTTATAAGCAAACAAATCATTCCCCAGTTGATAAATGGTCAAAGGATATGAACAAGCAGTATTCAGATGAAGTAAACAAAGCTATCTACAGTCATATGAAAAAATTCTCTAAATCACTACTGATTGAAGAAATGCAAATTAAAACAACTCGGAGGGGCTACCCCACACCTATCAGACTGGTTGATATGACAGAAAAGGTAAATATTGGAGGGGATGTGGAAAAACTGAGAAACTAATGCACTGCTGGTGGAGTTATGAACTAGTTCAACCATTCTGGAGAGCAATTTGGAACTATGCCCAAGGGGCTATAAAACCATGCATACTCTTTGACCTAGCAATGTCATTACAGGTCCATATCCCAAAAAGATAAAAAAACAAAAAAGGAAAAGGACCTATATGTACAGAAATATTTGCGGCTGCTCTTTTTGTGGTGCCAAAGAATCAGCAATTGAGACAATGCCCATCAATTGGGGAATGGTTGAACAAGTTGTGGTATATGATTGTAATGGAATACAATTGTGCTATAAGAAATGATAAGCAGGATGCTCTCAGAAAAACCTGCAAAGACTTACATGAACTAATAATGCAAAGTGAAATGAGCAGAACTAGGAGAACACTGTACACAGTGACAGCAATACTGTATGATGAGCAACTGTAAATGACTTAGCTATTTTCAGCAATACAATGATCCAAGACAATTTCAAAGGACATGACGAAAAATGCTAACACCACTTCCAGAAAAAGAACTGATGGAGTCTAAACGTAGATTAAAGCATACTTTTAAAAACTTTTAAAGCTTTTCTTATTTTTTTTTGGTCTGTTTTCTTTCACAATATGACTAACATGATAATATTTTGTGTGAGTGTACATGTATGACCTATATCAAATCGCTTGCCTTCTCAGTGAAGGGAGGAAGAGAATTTGGAACTTAAAATTTTTAAAAATGTTAAAAATTATTTTACATGTAATTGGGGAAAATAATAAAATACTAAAATATCAAGGGAAAAAGTCACCACAGCAATATATTTTTTTTTTTTTTAAATTTGTCAGTGATCATGATACAGTGATTCTCAAAAGTTATGCCAGCAAGGCACAATCCCTGGCAAATGCTACAAAAAAGGGTTAAGCAAGGATCAGATGTGAATGAAGGTCACCTGAAGACAAGCCTACCTAAGGTTCATCTAGCCACCAAGTAGCGAATTGCTTTGGCATTGTCCTAGGAGGACCTGGGGACACAGAGACAAACAAAATATTCCCTGGCCTCAAGGAACTGCCATAGGAGCAGACAACATGGACACGTAAATAAATACAAGTATGTAGTACACCCTGGTTATTCCTCCACTTTGCAATGACATTCATAATTTGGGTCCCTAGAAGACAGTTACTATTCCCACAGGTTCTACAGTACCCTGTGACCACAGCCTCCTACACTCAAGTGCTGCCTATTAACAGGTAGTCAGTAGATACAATTAGCTCTTAGTGACAGCATTTACTAAGATGGACTCGAAGAAAACAGTAGTTACAAAAGATTTCCTTCTCAGAAACCTACCATAAATATACTAGCTATGAGGTGAGAGGGGAGTAACATGAAGTGAAATCTGAAAGGTTGGCTGGAGTCAGACCTCAGAGAACCTTAACTGCCAGGCTGAAGAGTTTCTATTTTATCCTAGAGTCAAGAAATAACTATTGAAGTTTCTGAACAGAGGAGTGACACGACCAACTCATCACTTTAGGCAGGAAGATCTTTGTGAAAGCTATGGGAAGGATGGACTGAAAAATAAGAGAGAGCGGGGAAAGGAAGACAACTAAGAGGCTATTAAAGTCATCTAGGAGAAGGGGGATGAGGCCACGAATTAGGTGGTAGCAGCTGGTAAAGAAAATCGGATGGATTTCCAGAGAAGTTAGCCTAGATTTTCTGCCACTGCTTCCAACTCTAAAATGATAAAATTCCATGAAAATCCTACCCCAAAGTCCACTATAAACATATGCCAGCAAATTGAGCTGTCTGACTGCCCATCTGTAGAAAGAAATTATTTTGGCCTACTTCCTAGGTCACTAGTGAAGGATAGCTTAATGAGAAAGAAACGTGTAACACTTCCAATGTAAAACACCTTATGTGTGGCTCTATACATATAAGATCAGAGGAAAAGAACTGTATCATACTTACTTGGTGATCTTGGTGGATATTTGTGAAAAGTTTTCTTTTTTGATTTCTGAAAGGCAGAAGAAATGATGTAAAAATAGGTTGTATTTTTCTGTTACAAAAACAGTACCACTACGGAAACACTTAACGTGTGACCTGTAAAAAAGTTCAGAATAATTTGCAGTAATGTTAGAGGGGGTCTGGAGAAGACTGAGCAAAGGAGAAGGCTTAAAACACAATAATCCAACAAAATGAGATCAGATTTAGTTCTTGGGCCTAAGCCTAAGATTACATGGGGATTCAAAGACATGTACATAATAATACAAAGAAAATGTAGAAAGCATGATAACTGAAAAAGAATTAAGCCAGATTAGAATGCTACCAAGAAAAGGATCTCAACAACTTCACAACTCCTTGTCTACAGTAACTAAGTAGTTATAATTGGTAGCTTCTCCTACTGCTCTTGATCCACCACTATAAGCAAGTGTAGGTCCTGTTAATGAAGAGGCAACAAATGCAAAAAAAGAAAAAGTATTCTCTCTGAAACACTGTTTTCAACATAATAGAGCAGCCTGTTATACATCTGTAGAAATTAAGACATCACAAGAACTACAAAAGCCTTTCTTAGGTGGAATTTGGATGTCTTTATTTCTAGTAGATACAATAAACTTTATCATTTATTTGAAATCTGCCATTGAACAGTTTTCCTCTTTATAGATGAAATTTTAACACTTTTAGTTATTTAATTTGTAAAAATTACTTCTTTGAGCATCTCAAACCTGTTTTTTTCAAACACTAAGTAATATTTTAAATTTCTACTGCAGAACCTGACCCACACATAGTAGAAATGGGACCAAAATACTGTCTAGGATGTTTGCAAGAATGAATTTGCCAGCATACTAAAGCATACAGCTGATTGGAAAAGTATACACTTACCATCTCTAAGTCTGATTCGTAGGTAATCGCAGATAGACTGTCATCTCCCTAGAAAAAAGAGATGTGTACACCATCATTTTATGAATCTTTCTTGGCTCCTACTGCACTCATCTCGTAAAATCTTCTAAGCTAGCAACAGTTAATTTAACTATACTAAAAGAAGGAACCAGAACTGTGAATACACATACTGGTCTAGAGAACTCTCAACAAGGAAACTCCCTCTTCCAATCTTATCCATCCATCCATACCTGGCATCCTGCTATATGCCCTGCCTCATCACCCCATTCCACCTGGAATAGCACACTCCAGAATGGTCATCCAAAGACTCTTTCTCCTCTCTCCTCCCAGAAAGAGTTAATTCACTCAGTTTGGGAATTCTTGGAGCTGATCCTGACTGGCAAATGAGTGAATGCATAGAAACTCACCTAACCAATATATCTAGCCAGCCCCAGGTCATGCTTCACTTCTCATGGAGCCTTCCACCCGAGGCATCTGGATATCTGCCCTCCTTTGGACTGGTAGTCTGTTCCCCTTACCCTTTCTACATATTGCTCTGGGAACAATAAGAAAATCGGTACTACCACTCTTCCTGGAAATGATACGAAAACGAAATGACACTCACTCGTCTTTGTCTCCCAAGGCCAAAACTCTCTTTCCTGGCTACCAATTCAATTGGTATCTATTAGATTCTAATAATTAGAATGTATATGTGTATATACATATACATATATATACACACACACATATGTGTGTGTGTGTGTGTGTGTGTATGTGTGTGTGTGTGTGTGTGTGTATAGATATATAAATTCTAATAATTAGAATACAAGTTGGGCCGCTAGGTGGTACAGTGGAGGAGTGTCGAGCCTGGAGTTAGGAAGACTCATCTTTCTAAGTTCAAATCAGGCCTCAGACACTTAGTAGCTGTGTGACCCTGGGCAAGTCACTTAAGCCTCTTTGCCTCAGTTTCTGTAAAATCTATAAAATGAGGTGGAGAAGGAAGTGGCAAACTACTTGAGTATCTTTGTCAAGAAAACCCTAAATGGGGTCAGAAAGAGTTGGACACGACTGAAAGATGACTGAACAACAACAGAATATAAATTTCCTGAGAGCACGATGAACCATCTACTTCCGTATCTGCATCCTCCACAAAAAACCTAAATAAATGCTTTTTCATTCATTCAATGCAGATCTATATCATACAGACTAAGAAAGTTCCCCACAGCACTGAGTTAATTAACTTACCCTGAGTTACAAAGTCCATAAATGTCACAGGTAGGAAGGACTTAAACTCAGGTCTTCCTGATTCTTAAGCTGGCTCTCTTTCTCCACTATCTCATACTGACTCTCAAGACTCTGGTCCAAAAAGAAGAAAATCTCATAGAGTGAACAGCTGCTAGCTTATTCAATCTTGCTCTCAGACTGTATAGATAGAAAGAAAACAGCCTGGAGATTCAATGACAATAAAACAAACTGAATGCTTTCTATAGAAACCCTAGATCTGATTTTAAAATACTTCTAAGTGAAAATGTTTCATTCTAAAAAAGTGTTGCTCTTATTTTCTCCTTCAATCAACATACTTGGTGATGAGAAAGGCCACAGATGACCCTCTTCTGTTAAATGCTTGTCAAAAATTCTGTCTTAAAAATCCACTGACATTACCACATTGGTAAGCAAGAGACTTCTATTTATGAAGGTCTTTTCCCACTCCCAATCTTTAGAAGTTATATATCAGCTAACTGAATATATTGTCAAGAATGGGTTGTCAAGTAGAAAAAAAACATTTTTCTCATATGGAAGAATATGCCAATTTACCTACTGCTAATACAGATTCAGTTTCTCAGAAACAGAAAAGATAGAAGGTTTTCAACTCCTTTTGAATATAATGGATACCTTTATCATCAAGTACTGAAGATTAGGACTAACATCTATATTATAAGACTAACAATGTTATATTTAGATTTTACAGTAGGTATTTATATTTCAAGAGACATGATTTGTCTTAGGTATACTATTCAAGTCTAGGTAATAACATGCTGTTAGAGTTCTACTCCATTTCAAATGCATGGGGGCTATTCAAAAAACCATTTACTAGGTTAACTATTGGTGCTTTATGCACAGCACAATAATTTTGTTGGTCCTACAAAATTTGTTCAGATGTGTATGGCAATTGTTATAGCTGATCTATTTTATAGTTGCTATACATATCTGACTCTACTATAATAACATATTACTACCTGGATTTGGATAATCTCCAGATAATAAAAACACCTACTGTAAAATCTGATTTTCAGCACTAGATGCTTGACCTTAAAAAAGGTCAAAATGTTCAACCCATGCCAAGACAAATGTTTGATTACAAGATTATGCATAAACATTTCAACAAAGTAAAGAATATAAAGTAATTACAGTATCCATCAGGGGCATCCATATGCTTCTAATCTTTAGTTTAGTCTCCCTAAAAATTCTAAACCCCAGTTAACAAACTCTAAAAAGAGAGGATGATTTCATAGTGGTCATTTATGTCAACAAGGGAACAAATGATGATCATTTAGTAGTCTGAAACAGAACAATACTAATTAAAGTATTCACATATGATGAGGACATGGGTTATTTTAAAGTAAAGCGTATTATGATAAGTCGTAGAATATCTTCTTTTGATCTGCCCAATAATTTCAAAAACATGTTTCTGTTCAAAATTCAATTAATAGTTACCAAATATCAACAGTGTTGGCTGGTACCATGATATGTTCCATAGTACTGTGAGAGTGCAATAGTTCCACCCTCTTCCTTTACGATTTCAAATCATAAGATTTAGAGCTAGAAAGGACCTCTGAGATTATTTAGTTAAATTCCTTCATTTTACAGCTGAAGAAATCAAGGCCCAGAAAGCGAAGATATTTGCTCATTAATCACACTGAAGGCAATAAGGAAATGGGCTGTGAATCTAGGTCTTCTGACTCCAGATGCACTACACTGCAAATTATTCAAATGCAAGCAACCGCAATGGTTTGAGAGGATTCCTCAGTCCCATATTTAAGTTCTTCAAGTAGAATGTAAACTCCTTAAAGGCAGAGACTGTTTAATTTTTGTCATTATATCATAAATTAGAGCTGGAAAGAACCTTGGATTTTATCAAGTTTGGAGCTTGAAAGAAGAAAAGGTTTGGAACAGTCACTGGAGAATTTTCTAGGGAGTTGAATTGTAGCTCAAGAGATTTGTCAAGAAAAGTGTGAGAGTTAAGCTGTCTTGATTTGACCAGATCAAATCAAGATCCTGCACTTAATAGCACAGATCTTGCACTTAATAGGCACTTAATAAATATCTCTTGGCTGACTGATTCTAACACCCTAAATAAAAGACACCATCCTTATTGTTTACGCAGTCAATTTAGGTGCTCCTGTTCTTTTCATGGTCCCTTCTGGTCATCATATCTATCCTACAGTGAATTGATTTGATTAAAGATTTTTTTTTTAAAGGAATGAAAATGAGAACCTGGTAAAGCAAGGAAACGTTACTGAGTAGGGATAAAAGGAGAGAATGAAAGACATCATTTACTGACATAATTTCTGATGGAGGAAGGACGAGTACCACATACAGTGTTTAATTTCCCAAAGGAAGAATTCCTTGTAGCATACCTGTCATGTTATTACTCAGCTCCTTTATTAACATACTACTACATCTCTTCAGTTAATCATTCTACTCCCTGCTGTGATAACACTATGCACAATGCCTAAACAGGGACATGATGGGTTGTTTCACAGGAGGAGGACAAAAAATCAGGGCATTTGCATACTGTTACAGTGTTTCTACACTCTTGCTTTCAAAATTCTTGCAAACTTTTTTTGACAGTTTTGCAGACAAGATAAGTAAGAACTTTGATGTCGGTAAAGCAGGCCCTCTTCACTTCATCCCTATTTGATGATCAAATTACATGGTTCAAACCCACTATTGTGCAGAATGTTACATTATTTTGAAAATTAACCTAGAGATAACTTCACAACTCAACTACTCTAATCCATCCTTCATGATCTAAACTACTGGATAAAAAAGTGACATAAAATATATAACCCTAACTGGAAATTGAGTGAGACATATGAGACTCTGAGAATACACCCTTATACAGGTCTATGTAAACTCTGACCCCTCTTAATTCTTCTGGAACATGACTGGACAGCATGAGTTGGGTGGAGGATGTAGGCAATCCATAAATCATATAACCAATTCAAAGTTAATAGAGAGTTAAACAGGTCTACTACGGTATTTCAACCTAGTGCTTCAATTCCTACCAGGCTTATGGGTTACCTACATTAAGGTGATGTGTTCTTTCACTTCACCCCTCAGCCTACTTCATCATCTGTAACATGAGGGAATGGGTTTAATTCAATGGTCTCTAAGGCCCCTTCCAACTCTAAATCTATGATCCATGATTCAGGCACATCTTATCCATTCCTTCCTCCCTTAAGTTTTCATAATCATCACCACTAACTTGAGTTGATTTTACCCACTGTAAATTTATGGGCATATAAGGAGTTTGAGAAACAAGGTGGTTTAGTTGGTATAGGTAGAGCCAGCTTTGGAGCGAGGAAGACATGGACTAGCTATGGGACTGTGGGCAAGTCACTTCTCAATGCTTTTCAGGCAATATACAAGTATTACTTATCAGATACTGATCTGCATTAGTAGAGGAAGTTTCTATACTGATGAAATCACATCTGGTCAAATCAAGAAAGCTTAACTCTCACACTTTCTTGACAAATCTCTTGAGCTACAATTCAACTCCCTAGAAAATTCTCCAGTGACTGCTCCAAACCTTTTCTTCTTTCAAGCTTCCAACTTGATAAAATCCAAGGTTCTTTCCAGCTTTAATCTATGATCCTATGAAGTGCATCCCTATCCTTAATATTTACAGCAAATCATAACCTCTTATTTCACTGAAAAGACTAGGGCCATCCAACAGAAGCCCCCTTAACTTCCCTCCTCCATATCTCATAGTTTCTCAGCATCATCTGTATTTAGGAAGATCACTTTGGCAGCTAACTAGAGGATGTACTGAGAAGGGAGATGGTGGAAGTAATTTAGGGTTGGGATTTGACTTGGTATGAAAGTTAATAAGATGTGAGAGCAAAGGTCTAGGAAGGAGAGGATTGTAGAGAGTTTAACAAAAAAGTTTCAGTATACAACAGGGAGTCACTGAAGACCTGATCTTTGCAGGAGGAAGATTAATCTGGTAGAGGTGGATAGATGGATAGTTTGGAGGAATGAGAGTGAAAGCTGGCAGTCTCTCAGGAGGCTTTTGTGGTAATCCATGCATATGGTAATCACATCCTTTACTAGGGTTGAAATTGTCAGAATTGAGAGGGTGCTTGTGAGATTTGGAGGTAGAAGCAAGGATCACAAAATCCACTGGGTGGATGTGAGATGTGAGGAAGAGGGGAAAGCCAAGAACAATACTAAAATTTCAAATATAGAGGCCAGTTGAGTGGTGGCGCCCTGAAAAGAAAGAGCAAAGTCAAGAATGGTGATAAAGTTAACTTTGGACATATTAAGTTTGAAGTAGGACATCAAGGTGAAAGTGTCTTTTTGTCGTTTGGGGAAGTCCAAAGAGTCTGGAGCACAGAGGATGGATTAAGGCTAGAGGTCAGATCAGTTGAGATTCATCTTCATGGAGGACATAGTTGAAACTGTGGGACTATAAGAAAATAGTAGGAAGAGAGGGAACGAACACTAACCTTAAGGAATGAGGAGAAGGAGGAGATTTTAAAAAGATACAAAGCAGAAGTGAGGTGGGAGAAACAGATGAGTTTGGTAACTTTGAATCCAAGGGAGAAGTCAGTATCCAAAAGGAATGCATAGAAGGTCAGAGAAGATCTAAAAAAAGGTGATTTTTATCCACCATTTAGGAGGTCATTGGTGGCCTTTAAGAGAGACTAGTTGTAGGAGAGTGATGTGGACACAAGCCAAATTGCAAGGCATTAAGAAGGCAGTAGATGGTGAGGAAGTGAAGGTGAAGGATAAACTATTTCCAGAAGTTTGTAGATGAAGGGGAGAAGAAATAGGGAATTCAGTTTAATCCAACTCATATTGAAGTGCCTGCCATCTGTGTTTAAGGCACTATATTAGTTTCTAGAAATACAGAGACAAAGAGAAACTATACTTATCCTTGATGAACTTACATTTTACTAGAGGGATATTAAATGTAAGGAGCTTAAAATGTAAGCTCTTTGAGGGCTGAAGTGGTTTCATTTTTGTCTTTTTATCCTCAGTGCCTAGCACATAGTAGGTACTTAATACTATATTATTATATTATACTTATATATAATATATTAAACTAATATATGATACTATATTATAAAGAAATGTTTGATTTATATTTACATTATAAAGAAATGTTTATTGATAGATTGAACATGTACAGAGATGGAGAATGAGGAAAGTTTTCTATAGGCATATGAGCTGAGTCTTGATTGAAGACTACAGAGACTCAACGCAACCAGAATACTCTTTCACCATCAAAGGGAGACCCAGCATAGCTGGACCATGAGACTATATAGTGGCACAGTACCATCCTCACCCCACTCCCATCACCAACACAGTTGTGACAAAAGAAGTCCTATTTCTTTGTGGTTAAAAAACTCCCACACCTCTTACTCTCCCAATCCCAGTGAAGAGTCTACTGCCTAAGAGTAAACCACCCTTTCCAACCCTACTCTTTTCTCATCCTCTACCTTAACCCTATCCCTCCAGTAGCATACTGCCTGCTCTTTTTACTGTGCTCTCTGGAATTCCCATTCCATAATTAATGAGCTTCCCTTCATTTTGGACTTCTTTTTCTCCTCTTTCTGCATTCTGGATTTCTCAGAGAGTTGGCTTCTCCAAAATGATACCACATCTCTGGCCATCCTTTCCATTACTGGTTACACTGTCTCTCATATCTCCCAACACACAAATCTTTGAAGAGAAATGTAAATGCTGTTTTATTCCCATTGTCATTTCCAGACTTTCCCTGTGCTCCCATGGTTCAGCAACTTCTCTTTGGAAATTCACTCTATTCAAATGTATTACCCAATCTAGAACATAGTGGCTTTTTTCAGCCAGTCCCTGTATCATTCTTTCTCTTCTCCAGAAATTTAGCACCTGGCTCATAGACTTTTTCACTATCTCAACTCCTTCTCTTACTTACAGAAGGGGACTTAACTTGATATTCGAACACCTCATTTTCCCAGTTCCTCAATCTCTTCAACTCCCATGACCTATTCTTCCTCTTCTTCCCCTCCCTGAATCTCCTGGGCAACACACAGGGAAGGTTGTACCCTTCATGTCACCGTCACTTGCAAGTGTTCTCACTTCAATGATAAAAAACTCTAAAATTCTTTATTAATCATAACCTCCTGTAATTTGCTTTGCCTTACTCCTCCTAAAACTATTCTTACCTTCACTGTGAAGGTAAGCATTTTACTCCTTAGTCTATCATCCATGTTCTTGCTTTAATTTCCTTTTTTCATAAACTCTCAGATGGCAGGCACTTCAATATGAGTTGGATTAAACTGAATTCCCTATTTCTTCTCCCCTTCATCTACAAACTTCTGGAAATAGTTTATCCTTCACCTTCACTTCCTCACCATCTACTGCCTTCTTAATGCCTTGCAATTTGGCTTGTGTCCACATCACTCTCCTACAACTAGTCTCTCTTAAAGGCCACCAATGACCTCCTAAATGGTGGATAAAAATCACCTTTTTTTAGATCTTCTCTGACCTTCTATGCATTCCTTTTGGATACTGACTTCTCCCTTGGATTCAAAGTTACCAAACTCATCTGTTTCTCCCACCTCACTTCTGCTTTGTATCTTTTTAAAATCTCCTCCTTCTCCTCATTCCTTAAGGTTAGTGTTCGTTCCCTCTCTTCCTACTATTTTCTTATAGTCCCACAGTTTCAACTATGTCCTCCATGAAGATGAATCTCAACTGATCTGACCTCTAGCCTTAATCCATCCTCTGTGCTCCAGACTCTTTGGACTTCCCCAAACGACAAAAAGACACTTTCACCTTGATGTCCTACCTCAAACTTAATATGTCCAAAGTTAACTTTATCACCATTCTTGACTTTGCTCTTTCTTTTCAGGGCGCCACCACTCAACTGGCCTCTATATTTGAAATTTTAGTATTGTTCTTGGCTTTCCCCTCTTCCTCACATCTCACATCCACCCAGTGGATTTTGTGATCCTTGCTTCTACCTCCAAATCTCACAAGCACCCTCTCAATTCTGACAATTTCAACCCTAGTAAAGGATGTGATTACCATATGCATGGATTACCACAAAAGCCTCCTGAGAGACTGCCAGCTTTCACTCTCATTCCTCCAAACTATCCATCTATCCACCTCTACCAGATTAATCTTCCTCCTGCAAAGATCAGGTCTTCAGTGACTCCCTGTTGTATACTGAATAAAGTTCAAACAAACTTGTCAGGCATTCAAAGTCCTCCTGAATTTTGAACTACCTCTCCAGTCTTAGCTTATCCTGCTGCTTTCCAGGTATCCTACACTCTAGTCAATTTGAACTACTCTGTCTCCTACCTTCTGCTATACAATGTCCTCTTGAGCTATCTTTTCCTATTGAATTCCTACAATGTCTTTAAAGGCCAACTCAAAAGAAGCCTTTAGATGTGTGGCCTCAGAGACTACTCTTTTTTTTTTTTTTCTTAAAGATTTCTCTAAAGTAGCACAATGGCTAGAGTGCTGGGCACTCTGGGGTCAGGAAGACTCATCTTCCCAAGTTCAAATCTGACCTCAGACACTTAGTAGCTATCTGTATAACCCCAGGCAAACTTAACTCTGTTTGTCTCAGTTTCCTCATCTGTAAAATGATCTGGAGAAGGAAATGGCAAACCACTCCAGTATCTTTGCCAAGGAAACACCAAAGAGGGTCACAGAGTCTGACACAAGTGAAAATGACTGAACAGGGGCTGCTAGGTGGTGCAGCAGATAGCGCAGGGATAGAGCACTGGCCCTGGAGTCAGGAGGACCTGAGTTCAAATCCAGCCTCAGATACAAAACACTCACAAGCTGTGTAACTCTGGGCAAGTCACTTAACCCCAATTACCTCACCCAGGAAAAAGAAAGAGAGAAAGGAAGGAAAGAAATGACTGAATAAAAAGTACTGTAAGCAATAAGAGGCAGTGTGGTACAGTGAGAAAACTCTAGACCTGGACTTCCAAGACCTTGGTTAAAATTTTAGGCTTTGCTGCTTTTTTTTTAAGCTGTGTGACCCTTGGCAAGTTACTTAATCTCTCACGGTTCTAGTTGCTACCTCTGCAAAATGAAGGGACTGGACTAGAATCTGGTCACTAGATCTCTCAGTTCACTTCCAGTTCTAAAATTCAATAAGTTTATGAAAGGTTACAAGAGTTGAAAGAATACAAGCACCTGAGTTTGAATCCCAGCGTTGCCATTTATTTCCTTGGGGAAGTCACTTCACACCCTACCTCCCGCCCAATTTCCTCATCTGTAAAATAAAGATTAGGAGATTGGCCTATACGAAGGTCCCTTCCAGCCCTAAAACCTTTTTTCCCCCCTAACTTCGAAGGAAGAACAGATGAAATGAAACTGTCACTTCCTTTGCCAGATCCAAAAGAAATAACAGATAAAAACACTTAAACCCCCCCCCCAAAAAAACACGTCCCAAAAGATTCAGTGCCTTTTCAAGCTTTCATAGCTTAACTTTGAGCTTTAAGAGCTTAAGACTACACTAGGACTGTTGGGACACTGTCTCAGCTTATTATTAGAGCTGGAAGAGCCCTCAGAGGCTACCTAGCCCCTTCCCCTTCATTTTACAGAGAAAGAAACTGAGGCCTAGGGAGGGCAAATAAGCGAACCAAGAGTTAGAGGGTAAACTTCAGAAGCAGGATTCGAAGCCAGGTCCTCCAACAGCCCCACGCCGTGCACCCACGCCCCTCGCCACCCACAGCATGCACCGCATCACGGAGGCGGAGTGTGGCAGCTGACCAAGGCGGGGGGGCCCCCTCCGGGTGGGCCCGCTTCCTTCCCTTACCGCTTCCGAGCCCTGCTCACTGATTTCCTGTAACATAGTGGCGGCCGGGTGGGGGGCCCTCAGGAGCCGGGAATGGCGGGTTCCCAGCTAGGAGGCGCAGCTAGTCACGGACTCGGGGGGGCCCAGCGCCTCACGCCCGCCATGCCCCCCACCCGCCCCCCGCCACACGGCTGCAGGCACAGCGAGCGCCCCTGGGCGGCCCCACTTCCGGGGAACTGTCTCCATGGCAACAGCATCGAGCAACCCAACGGAGCTCGGCAAGACCGCCTCCACAGCTCCGGAAGCAGAGAGCGACTTCCGGGAGGATAGCCGCAGAGCTACCTGGGAAAAAGGAGCCGGATGCAGGCGGCCGCTGGGGGCGCTGGGCCTGCTGAGAGCGCGCCCAGAGTCTGGCCTTGAACTGGAGGAGGAAATAAGCCCTGGAAGAAATGCCCTCGTCGAAGTTCTTAGCTCCGGCCAGTGACTTGGGTTCTGGAGGGTGGGGAAAGGAGAGAAGGGTGAGAGAGAGGAGAAGGACTGCGAGATATGGTAGGCATATTGGGCATGCACATATGATAGATTTAGAGAGATAGATAAATGGTTGGATGGATGTAGATATAAATGTATAATGTGTATGTACTTCTAATATATACGTATATATCGTTTTCTGAGAGGACCAGTGACGTCAGGGGGTGATGTCTTGACTTGCACTTGAATTGGATCTAAGTGAGGTAGAACTGCTTGGAGGCGTCAGCCCCCTCTCTTCCAGTCATTGACGTCCAGTGGCATGGGCCCCAGGGTCAGTGGATGACCCTGGCGTCTTAGATGTCTGACCAAGCTCTAAGTGCTCCACCGCGCCTGCTTCGGCCCTTCATGGCAGTTGGAACAATTATATATATATACACACACATATATATATATCATACATAATATATTATGTAATGTTATACACATAAAATATATAGAACCTATGTGGCATGCAGTGAATAGAGTACACCTAGTGCCAGGAGTTGTGAGGTACCCCATTGCCTCACGTGTTCTCTATGTGTTCCTCACTGACATGACTTCAAATTCAGCCTGAGACACTAGCTGTGTGACCCTGGGCAAGTCACTTAACCTTGTTTGCCTCAGTTTCTTCATCTGTAAAATGAGCTGGAGAAGGAGATGGCAAATCACTCCAGTATCTTTGCCAAGAAAACCCAAATGGGGTCATAGAGAATCAGAAACTACTGAACAGCAACTAAAATAGCATATATAATATGTAACATATATAATACAAATCGTATATTAATACATATGTGTATTTTGAATGTTTAAGATATGTTCAATATAATATTTGTATGTATTTTAAGAATTTAAGACTTAGCATATAGTAATATAAATATATTACTATATACTAAAAAAGAAGCAGCATGTTGACAATATGGTGGTTTACTTAGCATAGCATAACCCCTAGCACCTAGTAGGCACTTAATGTTTACCAATTGCCTGATTTACTTAAACAGCCCAAGAGATTCAACAACAAAATCAAAACAGTAACTTGAGTAAAGAAGCAAAATAAAAAATAAATCAAGAAAATCATCAGCCCTTTTTGTATATCTATATATCAAAATGTATATATCAATAGTAAAAGCCAGGAGGAACATTTTTTAAAATGTATTCAAAATAATTACAAAATGCACAGATACCTGGGAGCAAAGCTACAAGCACACACACAGGTTTTATAGAAATGAAACTACAAAGCACTCTTTCCAGAAGTAAAGAAAAACAAACAAATGAAGAGATACTCATTGTTCATGGCTAGGCTGAACTAATTAATATAATAAAAATACACATGACATCCTAAATTAATTTGCAGATTTCATCTAGTAGATGTTATTACTGAAGGATTACTTTGTGGAACTGGACAAAATAATGTCGACATTGAAAAAACAAGTGATTAATTATAATAGAAATAATGAAAATGCTAAAATGAATTATGCCACAAAATAATAGCAAAACAATTTGAAACTGTTTAAAACAGAGAAATAGATCAGTGGAACAGGCTAGCCAAATAAAATGTAGAAGCAAATAAAAACAGTGGCACGATGTTCAATCAACCCAACACAAACTACTGGAGAAAGAACTCTGTTCCAAAAGAAATGCTGGGAAAACTGGAAGAAAGTAGGTTAAGAGCAAAAACTTGCCCTGTAATACACTGTAAGCTCAAGGATAAGGGATGATAAGATCAAAGGAAACATCACAATAATTAGATAACTGACAGAGGTAACTGTTCAGATCTGTGGCTAGGCTGAGATTTCCTAACCAAATCATAAAAACTAAAACATTTTCATTACATGAAAAAACTTTTGCATGAACAAAATCAATATTCAGAAAACAAGCTATAGATTTGGAAACCCATAGGTATAGATAGATGTGAAGAATGAAGTAAGTGCAACTAAAATAATGTTATATACATAATGACAACAATTATATAAATGAAAACAACCCAAATGGGCTGCTCAACTCAGCCTCGATGCAAAAGAACATTGATTCCACAGGCCAAATTATGGAATACTCCTCCTTCCTGTTAGTAGACAGAGCAGGAAAACATGGATATTTGTGGCTGCATTGGTTGGTTTTACTTAACTTTTTCTTTATTAAAAGACAGGTTTATGGGGCAGAGAACATTATAATGTTAAATTTTTAAATAGCAATAAAACTTTTAAAAATAAAGTGAAATGAAAGTATTTGAGTGGATTGTATCACTCCCCTGTTTAGAGACTCCCTCTGCCTACTAAATAAAATATAGATACAGGCTGATATTCAAGGCCAGCTAAAATCTGCCTCCATCTGACTTTCCAGCTTTGCTTCTCCTCACATCTCTTTATTTAAAATATGTTCCACCCAAATCACCATCAATACCTCAGTCTCATCCTATTCTTTCCTGTCTTTATTCATTTGTACGTACTATGACCTATGCCTGGGATAAGCAACCCTCCCCAACCTGAATTCTGCCTATTCATTTCTTCCCTTTCTTCAAGGCCCAGCCTCCTTCATGAAACCTTCCCTAGGTATATTTTTATTTATATATTGTTTTTGTATCACCTTTTCTATACTTTCTTTTGGTAGTCAGGGCTCCTATAAAGCTATCATTTGAATAAAAAAAGAGAGGAAAAAACAGTTCGGCAAAACTAACCAACAGAAAGAAAGTCTGATAGTATTTTCTGTGTGCCATACTCACAGTCCCCCAGCTCTGCAAAAAATGGAGAAGGCCCTTATTGTCTCTTTGGGGGCCAAGTTTGGTCTTTGTAACTTCATAGCCTTCATTTTCATTAGGTTTGTTCTTTTTATTTATAGTGCCATAGATATTTGGAAAGCAGTAATTCTTGCTTTTTCTGACTTGACTTGTCATCAGCTCATGTCTTCTCATGCTTCTCTGTATTGATCAAATTCATCATGTCTCACAGCACAGTACTATTCCATTGTATTCCTACACCATAACATGTTTAGACATTCCACAACTGATAGGCATCTACTTTATTTCAGTTCTTTATAAATATAAAGAAAGGGCTTCTAGAAATATTTTGGTGCAAATGAGATTTTTCTTTTTATCACTGACTTCCTTAGGATATAAGTGTAGCAATTGACTTTCTGATTCAGAGTATCGTTTTGGACATTTTAGTCGCTTTCTTCATATAATTACAATTTTTTCCTCTCAGAATGGTTGTATCAATTTTCATCTCCAACAACAGGGCATTAAAAGTGTTTCTGTCTTTCCACAGCTTCTCTAAACATTGACTCTTCCCATCTTTGTCATTTTTGCCAGTTTGCTTGGTATAAGATGAAATTCCTTGTTATTTTGATTTACGTTTCTGTTGTTATTAGTGCTGTGCTTCTCGGGACTCTCTTCCAACCCCAACTTCAGCTGACAGATTGGTTTGCCAGAAGGCAATGTCTACTGCTCCCCTCAAGATTTTAAGGCTCAGCCTGAGAGGTTGTACCTTCTAATGCTTTTTTTTTTTTCATGAGCCCCCATCTGGTGTACTTCCTCCAATTTAGAATCAACCAGCTGACATCAGTTAGCTATTATAAAAGGGATTTTTACTAAGAACAAACAGTGCTGGAAAGCTTAAGGGCACTTTCTCTCCTTGAACATACAAACAAAGTCTCTGGGAAGAATGGACAAGCTTTAAAAAGTACTATGTTTCTATGTTTTCTTTCACAATATGACTAATGTAGAAATATGTTTTGTATGACTGCACATGTCATATTGCTTAAATCAAATTAAATCAAATTGCTTGCTTTCTCAATGAGTAGAGAGAGGAGGAAAGGAGGAAAAAAATTTGGAACTCAACATTTTTAAAAAAATGAATGTTAAAATTTGTTTTTACATGTGGTTAGAAAAAAATAAAGCAATTTAAAAAAATTAGATAAGTTTAGAAAAAGTGTAACCTGTACTCTGTCAATATTCCATCTAATGAAAGCAATTTAGCCAAAAATTTAAAAAATAATTAAAAGTACCATGTTAGTGAGGAACACGTAGAGAGAGCCTGTGAGGCAGTGGAGTCCCTCACAACAGGTACTTGGAGTTTTCTCCTTTCTTGGAGTCCCCTCCAAGTCTGCTTCTCAATGTTAATCCCATTTCTCAATGAATCATTCTTTACGTGTTCCTCACTAACATGGGTTAGTATTTCAGTGTCTCTGTCAGTGTGCTCTTGATAGGGATCAAGCTGGTTGCTTTTCAGGGTTGGCTCTTCACTGAACTCAACCACTATTATGTCCAGCTCCAGTGGTTTTTGGTACCAGCACTGGTTGTGTTTGAAACTTCAGATAGTTGGTCTGGCTTTTCAAAACTTCCAAGGTCAGAACCTAGTCAACTGTATTTCCAGATAGTTATTCACCTATGACCAGGAAAGAGTAAACACAAAAAAGACAAAAGAAGCACAGGAACCACGCGTTCACAGACACATGATGGTCTAGTGGGAGATAGAACCTGTTGCCCACTCCCATACGGCCGAGTTGAACTGAGTTCTGGACTTGTCAGTCTTTAAGGCTCTGAAGCTAATGAGTAAACTTCACAGAGTAACATCCCCTCAGTCACTCACAGCTGGGAGTAGGCTCACCAAGGCTCCATGTGTTGGGTTGGAACAAGGTGGGGAGATATTGTAGATGCTCCGAGTAACTCAATAGGAA